TGATGAACTACAACTTCGCGGCGAATGGGTGCAAACTCTGGGCTTCGCCGAAGGAGGTGATTTGGGCACCAACCATGGGGCCGAGCTGGTAAAATCCACCATCCTTCACCTTCGACCTCGGTGGCTGATCTGTCATGTGCCACTGGGACCGACTCGCAAGAACAAGGAGGATGACATGAGTTCTCCTCAGTGGCGACGCTTCAACAAGGTTGTCCGCCACCTCTTGGAAGCTGCCCAGGTGCAAATAGACCATGGTGGAGAGGTTTTGTGGTGCCAGCCGGCTGAAAGTTCAGTGCGTTTCCTGTCGTGCGCCCGCGTTTTCTGGCATCAGCACCAACAGCATGCGGATGGCCGGGTGACGAGATGCGGTGATGCCCACTACCGGTCAACCTCAACCACTCTGCTGCAGGGACTTCCGAGTGTTACTGAGGCTCCTCCTGACCTGGAGAAGATGTTGGCCAAGCTCATGCAGCAGGTGATCAGGTATGAGGCTGTGTTTTCCTTTGTCGGTGCAGTGGACATGTCCGTGCTGGACGGCATCTCCTCAAAGGAGCTTGGTGAGCTGATGGAAAGAGTGCATCGACTGCACTCCCGGCTGGGTCATCCCTCCAACCGACTTCTGGTCAAGAATTTGCAGGCTAGACATGCTGACAAGAAGCTGATTGCTGCTGCCTCGCAGCTGAAGTGTGATGCCTGCTTGGAAAGCCGAATCAAGGCGCCGCGACCGCCCGTTGATCTCTCAAGGTCTGACCGTCTCTGGACCGACCTCCAGATGGATCTGTTTCAAATGAAGATCGATAACCGGATCTACCACTTCCTCCTGTTTGTCGATGAGTGCTCAGGCTATGCGGTGATTCGGCTGGTGTTCGACCACTCTGTCAACCAAGGTGGCAATGCCACCTCAGCGCAAGTGTGCCACCTCTTGGAAGAAGCCTGGACTGAGTACTTTGGTTTTCCAGAACGGATCAAGCTGGATGCTGAGAGTGCCCTACGAGGAACTCTTCTTCGAGACTGGTGTGCTACCAGAGGAGTTGAGTTAGTCCATGCCCCGGCTGAACACCATCAGTTCATCAGTGAGGTTGAACGATCAATTGGAACTCTGCGCCGAAAGATTGAAACTTTCCTTCGAGAACGGCCTGAACACCCTCGCCAGGTGGCTTTGTCAATGGTGACTTCGCACAACAGCCTGGCCAGAATACACGGCTTTTCGCCGCTCCAGTGGGCATTAGGCCGTGACCTGAGTCTGAGTGGACATGTGAATGAAGGAGTGGGAGAACTCCCTGCTCTTTCCAGTGCTGGAACACCAGGTGCTGATCTCCACCAGACTCAACGAATACGACTTCGAGCTGCGCAAGCCTTCTTGGAGCTGCGACACCGAGAACTCAGTGATCGAGCAGCAAGATCATCCGCATCTGCCTATCCTCACTACCTGCCCGGAGACTTGATCTACTACCGCCGTTACAAGACGCCTCAAGACCTTCCTGCCAACATGTCGACCGACCATCCTCGAATGACGATCTCTCGTTGGTACGGACCTGCACGGGTCTTGGCTACCGAATCTCGGGGAGCTCCCGGGGAACGACGGCCATCTTCGCACCTCTGGGTGATTGCGCAAGGCCGACTAAAGAAATGCCATTACACTCAAGTGCGACCTGCCTCTGAGACTGAGCACTTGATTGCTCAACAATCCTCCGGCACCACGTTTCCATGGACAATGTCCAATTTGACTTCCTTGCTGAACAAAGGTGCCTACGAGGACCTGACTCGCGATCGTGCAGTTTATCCAGATGATCTGGAATTTCCGGATGACGATGAACGGGATGATGAACTTCCTCCTGGAGCCGGTGATCATTCTGGAAATGGTGATCAACTGCCTGATCCTTTGTCGGAGGAGGAGCTGATCCCTGATGCGACTTCTGCTGCTCGGAAAAGGGAAGGGCCTGAACCGGTGGAAGAAGAAGAGATGGTTCCCGACGATGCCGAGATTGACCTGAATAAGCTCTTCAATGACCCCAGCTACATGCCCTTCCAGCCGATTCCGACGTCAGCTCGAGTGTCGCCTTATCCTCAAGAAAGCTTTCGAGACCAACGAGCCCGGCATGAACAGGACGATCGCCCGTGGCATGTGCGACGGAATGAGGGTGCGTCGTTGTACCATGAGACTGAGGAGGCCGACAAAGTCTTCGCGGTGACCATTGATGCTCCTGCCAATGCTCAAGCTTGGAAGAAGATGGTCAAGCACCCGGAAAAGTTCATGAGCAAGGCTGTTTCCAAAGGAGTGGAGGTTAGCTGGCAACGACTATCCGCGGAACAGCGATCTGCAATGGCTGAGGCCAAGAGTCTCGAGGTTGCTCAGTGGGTACAGCTGAAGGTGTGTAAGCGGGTGGCCGAGCACGTTCCGGAGTCCCAACTTCTGCGGATGCGATGGGTCCTGACCTTCAAGGAAGCTGACCCTACGGAAGCTGGTGCACCTCAAGTGAAGGCGAAGGCCAGGATTGTAATCCTGGGATACAGTGACCCGGGACTCCTAGAAGACACGACGGCCTCCCCTACAATGTCCAAGTTGACACGTCAGCTGATGTTGAACCTTGCCTGCATACGTCGTTGGGCTATCTACTCAGCCGATGTACGCACGGCTTTTCTTCAAGCAAGACCTGCTGATCGTGGCCGGCGTCTACTGGCAAAACCGCTTCCGGAGTTGGCCGAGCAACTGGGGCTCACTCCTCAGGAATGTGTGGAGCTCACTGGCTCAGCCTACGGGTTGGCGACAGCTCCGAAGGAGTGGTTTGTAGATGTGTCATCCACTCTCAAGAGGTTAGGAGCTCTACAATGCCGAACGGACCCTTGTGCATGGATTGTGCTGGGAGTTGATGGTGAGGTGGCTGGTGCTCTCGCAAGCCACGTCGACGACTTCCTGATCATGGGAAGCTCTACGGACGCCAATTGGCTTCGCTTCATTGCTGCCTTTAAGGCGGCATACACCTGGGCACCATGGCAACAAGGGGACTTCGTCCATTGCGGCATTCGCATTCTGCAGCACGAGGATGGGTCTATGACATTGGACCACTCGGGCTTCTGCTCTGATCTGGTTCAGATGGACCCTGCTGGTCCAGGCGAGACCATGAGCGAAAACCAGGTCCGGCAGGCCAAGGCGATTCTCGGATCTGCACAGTGGCGCGTGACCCAGTCGGCTCCACACCATGCTGCAAAGTTGAGCTACCTCCAAACCCTTTTGTCCTCCCGCTCGAGCTCTTGCGTGGATCAGATCAACAAATTGGTGCGGGAGATCCACAACGCCAAGCACATTTCTGTGTCTGTGCAAAACTTGGGAAACTTCGACCCGAAGGCTGCGACGTTCGTGGCCTGGTCGGATGCATCCTTGGCCAACAGGCCGGATGGAACGAGCACTGGAGGACTCTTGGTCGGAATGATGAGTCCCAAGTCCATGGAGCTTGGTCAGGGCAAGATCAACGTGATCAGCTGGCGGAGCTACAAGTTGCCAAGGGTTGCGCGCAGCTCTTTGTCAGCGGAAGCGCAAGCCTTGAGTACCTGCGAACAAGAACTTATGTATGCACGTCTGGCTTGGTTCGAGCTGAACGGCGGCAAGGTTGATGTGAACCATCCTGCGGCAGGAACGTCTCAGGTGCCCGGTCATTTGATCATCGATGCTCGAGGCGTGTATGACACCTTGATGAAAGCCGACCCTGGTATGGCTTCTTTCAACGTGAAGGACAAATACACGTCATTGGAGCTGATGGGCATCAGTGAGAACCTGCAAAGCCAAGGAACGGTGCTCAACTGGTGCGACTCTGATCACCAGTTGGCAGATGGACTGACCAAGTCGGCGAAGCAGGACGTGCTGAAGAAGTTCTTGCTCCAAGGACACTGGCGGCTGCGTCATCCTGGTGCTTTCATGAGTGCCAAAAGGCGCCGAGTTCTGGATGGCAACCAACGATCGGACCCATTTGATGTACAGCCGAATGTCACCAGCACGCAAGCCTGATCTTACGTGTATAGTCTTTGGGGTGTGTCGCAGGTGAACCCACGGCATGTTTGATCAAACACTCCATCTCAGGCTTTTGTATATCTTCAGCTGCTCAGGAGCTCCTTTGGCCCAAGTATCTTGTGCTACCGACGTTTGAAGCACGCAGAGCTACCCGTTGAAAGCCATAGGCTTCTGAGCGGCTCCCAAGAGCCACCCTGGACGCTCACGAGAGCGGTGCGGAAAAGTGAGTCAAGCGCGATTGCTCTGTCGGATCTTCAAGCTTCCAGTGTCACTGGTGTCTTGCCAGTGACAGGCAGAGAAGAGATGCACTGTCAACGGTTACCACGGTGGAATAAGGGACTTTGTCCCGTGCAGGTCACTCGAAATGTGAGCTGCCTCGACAACCGCGGAGCTGCATACAACCACGAAAGAATAGATGCAGTTCGCCCCACGCAGGCCACATAAATGTTCTCTGAACCTATACCGCACATGCCTTTGCAAGGCGATCGAGCGTGCGTGCTTCTTGGTCTTGTTTCCGTTGTTCTGAGCCGGTATTGAAAGAGACGGAAATGAGCCCCATCGATGGCTTTTGCATATCAAAACAGCTGAAGTGCAAAAGGCAGCCCGTACAGCTACGCCGGATGTCCTACCGCAGCCGGTTCTTTGCATGGGACAAGTTGAAAAGAAGATCTTTTGCCAACGACGAGAACCAACCCAAGGACTCTGCTTCTGTTGCCTTCCTACGGGGCCACTGGGGAGCGAACTGAGAGGGAACGGAGCATGTGGGCAATTTGTTGCCTTTGTTCTACGATCAAGCGTTCTCGAGACTTACGACTCGACATTTTGCGACACTGACGATGTCTGAACCGTACATGTTCAAGCCCGATAGACGCGGTAACCACACTTCGGGACATAGCACCTCACACGTCTTGTAGCCAAGTGGGCTTCTGTAGCAACAGACAGCAGACAGCAGCTCTTATGCGTTGCGGTGTCACCGTGTCGCCCTGGGGCCCAGGCCAGGCTGCTGAATGGCAGCACGCGCTTGGACAGAGTGTTTGGAACTCTTTGGAAGTATGTGAGGGAGCCTGTGCCCTGTGCATTCTTGAGCCTATGTTACGTTGTTTTGAAGGATTGATGCGAGAATGCTTTCAACGCGGACCGGAGCCGGACGCTGCCCTGTGCAACGCAGTTGCGACAGCTTGTGAAGCACGTCAGGCCGGGCCTTTGCGAAGTCGGAGTGATAAGCTTGGCTTGAGGACGTAGGCGATGGCAGCTGTTTGGTGTGTTTGCCCTGGCCGAGTTCCTGTTTTTAGTTCACAGGTTGTTTGGTGCAGGCAACATCGTGCAGGCAACGGGATTTGCGGAAATACCTTTGCTGACACTTTCGATGTTGCAGAAACTGTTTCCCTCAAAAACAACAGGGTGTTGTCATCTTCCATGCTTTGTAGCAGAAGTGGTGTTGGCACGACTTTCGGCTGTGTTTTGCAATTCTGCTTTTGGGAACAGGTGATCAGGGTGTCATCTGACATCTAATTTATTCTTCAGTTTTGAGCAAAGCCAGGATCTCTGGCTGTTTCCATTTCAAAAAGAAAGTGACGTTTCCTCAAGTAACATGCTGTCTTTTGAACCTCCACGGGTTGCTTGGCGCAGGCAACATCGCGAAGGCAGTATTTTGGAAGATGCATTCACTGAGTTTTTCAATGTTGGAAACAATGTTTTCCTCGCAAGCACCAGGGTTTTGCTGTTTTGCATGCTTTGACGGTGTTGTCACGCTCCTGTGCTGGAATCAGGTTGTCATGATCACATGTATCTCTGTTTCTGATGAAAAGCAGGATACGGACAAGAAGCAGCAGCATCGGTACTCGTACTGCAATAATGACCTCAAGACGGTGAACAAGATGATGATGATCATCATCATGGCGTTTCGAAGAAGGTGCTCCAATAGAGCAGGGTATTTCAAATTCTGATGGTGGCCATGAAGATTAGGATGGTGAGCCCTGGTTATTATCATGCTGATGTTGGTTGAGAGAAGGAAGGACTATGATCACAATTATGGTGTAGTTTCCTGGCCGTTAGGATGGAGAGAAAGATTGTGACCATGAAAACTGTGAATGTGCGGGTGGAGGTGATGACAAGGAGGGATATGACAAGCTAGGATAATGGCGATGGTGATGGTGAGGCTGATGATGTGCTATGCTGAGCATGGGTATGAAGATTCAGACTGTGATGATGATCATGGTGATGATTGTGAAACCGTGAATGAAACGAAGATGACAGGATTAAGATGACTATGCAGATCCAAAAGAACAGTTTTTGCGGCTTCGTGTTTCTGATGTCTTCAAGCTTGAGTCGGTTCTAGGTCGAGAGCAAAAGCCATCGCGATGCCCAGCAGCGGTCTGGGAAAATACACCGAAACTGCCATGCATGATGCAGGCCTGCTGTCCCCCCACCCCATGGTATCCCCCCTTGCCTGTCAAGTGGGTAGTCGTCTTGTTTGGCCTTGCTGGCCCGCCCCACCTGTGGGGGGGAGTGTGTTCTACATAGGTATGGTATGGTTGCTGCCGCTTGTTGGCAGGAATGACATCGTTACGTGCTCGTTACCGTAAAAAAATATGATGTTGCTCTTTTCTCCTGCAAACGGTGCCCCTGTCCCTGCTCTGATGCGGTTCTCCGCTCCTGTTAAGAAGCACTGGCTGGGATCATTCTCAATCGTCCTCCTTCCCTCTGGTTTCCGTGGGTTCCGGTTGTGCGGGACCGCTGGGAGCAGGGGCGGCGGGGGGCCCGGGACCCGGGCTAAAGGTTTTCACAGAAAATAATTACAGCGAGAGCTGCTTCTGACAGACTGAATCCTGTAAGGAATGGGAGCAGGCAGTGGAAGTTTTGAGGCAAATGTCAGCAGCAGCCCCTGGGCTAAAGCATAAAAACGGCCGGACGCCGACCAGCAGACCGACTGATTCGCTCTGTCCAAGGAGGTGGAAGCTGACATCATTACTTTCAGCGCCATCATCAGTGCCTGCGAGGCAGACCTGACTTTCGATTTACCAAATCAGCGAACAACATTTTCCCATGTTTGTGGTACGTCCTGCAGGCAGACGAGCAGTGGGCTTTTGCGTACCTTGGTTGAGCTGCCGACTATTTACTTTAATATAAAGAACAGTGGAGGGGGCTTGAAAATGTAGCTCCATGTCGCCGCCGCGAAGTTTAGAACAGTGGGATGCTTGAGCAGATTGCATGGCAGGTGCCAAATTGCCAAATGCGTAAATGATGTTGAGCGGATGAAGCAGCTTTATGATTTGGACTTGGGTTCGACGCAAAGCTGGCCACCAACACATACACTTTCTCCAGGGTTAGGCGCACTTCATGATTGGCAATGACTCAAGATGATGATCATGATGATGAAAACCAAGATGAGATGAGATTTTGGTGCCAAGTATGCCAGACCAAAGGAATGGCGTACAAAACACAACAACGATGCTGTGTGAGACATGACGGAATCACACGGCACGGTATGAGAGGAAGGTGAAAACCAGGATGAAGGTCCCGCCAGCTGCCCACGACGGGGCTCAGGCGAAGACCAAGCAGGTACGTTTTCCTGGAGAGCTTCGTTGGACGGAGCTGCCCTACTTCCCCTCCGTCCCCCCACAAGAAATGACATTGAAAAGGAGAACAGGAGGGGTGTGACCACCCTAAGCCCACAAACTAGAACAGTACACACACGTGCACACACGCGCACACACACACACACCACACAGAGAGACAAAAACACACACACACACACACACACATCATGTGTGTGTGGCCTTTGACGGTTGACGGTGGCACCACTCAAACGGAGAAGCATGTGCAAACATGCTCAACAGATGCCCTAAGCCCTCGGCCGGCTCGAGACTATTTGACACAAGAAGGAGCCAGGAGCATTCGGCCTGATGAACTTGCGAGGTAAACTGCCAGATGCATTCAATGCTTTGAGCTGCTGTAATTTATTTGGCTTGTTCTTGCAGATAAGGTTGGCCGTGCTCGAGGTGCCGCACCGAGAAGTTATGTCCCCAGTCATCAAAGCAGAACTTGACTTCCAAGGAGATGAATGGGAGGCAGATCACTCCAAATGTTGCTTGGCGATTCTACTTGGCATCGGCAACAAGCAACAACAGTTCGATGTGGGACCGACAGCGGGCCATGGTGCAAATCGCAACAGAAGCGCGAAAAGGAGTACACAAATACAAGTAGCAATTGCAATCGGAGCAGGAATTTGGGGACCATATCCGATATCCGGGCCACAACTCGAGAAGAGCACTTAGGCCCTGCAGGCCTGCAAAGTTTGATAGCACTTTGATGTGAAGTCGTTGTTGAAGTAATATGTGCCCCACTGCTCTTGCAGCGAAGGGCACCGGTACCGCATAAGTAGCGCTGGCAGAGAACAATCATGTTTGTGCAGTCAGAGGTGCTGCAGGCTGCTTGCAAGGGCCGATCGCGAATCCCTCAGTCCTGCGAAGGTTATTGCCAGCAATGCTGCTATAGCCGCGTGCGCCGCAGTCGGGAAGTGGGCCCAAGCTGCCGTGCCGTTGCCTCATGAATAAGCTTGTCAGGCAAACGCTGGTTGCCTGACCAAGGGTTCCGAGTGACAAACCTGCACACATTCGTTCAGGATCCTGTACACTATGCGCAGTCCAGATGTTGTCAGCTTCAATTCTGCCCTCGACTCAGTTTGCTGTGCTTATTTAGCCTCATGAGAGCAATGACTTGAGCCACCAAAAGACTGCAGGCCATCGCAGCTTGTGAGGCTGCGGCGAACTGGCAGATGGCTGCTTGCCTGTTGCAGGACGTCAGTCATAACGTAGTTTGACTCACGTCAACAGTGACCTCAGCCATACTCACAGGACATGAAGCTCAAGAGCCTGTTGCCTGATGCATTGTCACACAATGCTGCACAGAAGGCGGCGTGGCAGCAAGAGTCCAGGCCGTGGGAACAGAAGCCGACATGATCTTGGCAGTGCGAAGAACTCTTGATGATGGCACGGCAGCGAGCGAGAGAGAGAGAGAGAGAGAACCGTCAATCACGGGGGAACAAAGGGACTGGCCAACTATTAATTTCCATGCTTCTTCGTATGCTGCTTTACTCATATGTTGTCTTAGTTGCACTGGAATTAAAAGTTGACCAAATCCTCGACCCATGACACCGGATAAGAAGGGAGAAAGCTGCAAACAATGCATCTATTTCTAATGTGGTTGTTTTCACGCACTCGGCAAAGATTTTCAAAACTGGGGGGAGCAGGCTGGCTTGGCCTGGCTTTGCTGGGCTCAGCGTGGCTTGGCTTGGCTTAGCGCCTGGCTCGGCTTGGCTCAGCCGGCCCGGCTTGGCTTGCTTTTGCGCAAAACTACACGAAGAAAGCAGCCGAGCCAAGCCAGACGAAGAAAAAAAAAAAAACAACTCCGCCCCCCGTGGCTCGAGTTTTTTTTTCCTGCGTTTGGATTGTGTGGGTTTCTTTCTTCTTCGTTTGGCTTGGCGTGGCTCGGCTTGGCTCGGCTCGGCCGGGCCCCTTAAAGGGTTCCTTAACCGGGAGGGTTTAGGGTTGCGGGGTTTAGGGGTTCAAGGGTTCGAGGGTTTTGGAATACGGCAGTCGTTGCCTTGCTCATAGATAGCCCTTCTGCCCTGAACCACGCATCCAAGATTATTTCTGACTACCCATGATCTCTCAAGTGGGCTGTATTTGGGCTTAGGGCTTCATGCTTTTTCTGGATCTCGGCCAGTGTTCTGGTCACGGCTGATGGCTTAGCACCCACCACCAATGCCCAGACCCCTAAGTTAAGAGGATCTGAGGGGCAGCACACCGACAACAGGGCCCATCTTAAGCCATGTCGTGGTCCACGTGGGTGGTTGTCAAAATTGAGGTGCTTTTTTGGGTACCTTAAATAACAGGTGCTGTATCATAATAGGGACTCGACACGGGACTACTATTTTCACAACCACCCATGTAGCCATTTTGGGTTATGTGCTAAGTACTGGTCCACGTAGCTTTATTGGCTTATGTGCTAAGTAAAGGGTTTGAGTGTACACCGCTGATATTCAAGCCGCACCGACCGCCCCCGCAATCAAAAGCACACGTATCCGGGAACGACACAATACTGGGAAGAACCGGTGGCTTGTAAATGGTTAACATACTTAGCGAGGTTAGCTATCTGTTTACAAACAAATGTAAAGGGTTAAGTTGGTTTAGCTAAAGGGGTTAGCATGGCTTAGAAGAAGGGGTTTTCGAGGAGCTATTAAAGGGGTCGGTATGAACCCTATGACCCTAAAGCCCTGAACCCATACCCTGGAAACCCTGGTCGCAAGAGCTTTTTTTTTCGCTGCTGCAAGCCGTGGAAGAGTCTTTGTCATTCAAAGCCGCAGCCTTTTGAAGAACATTCAGCCCTGATGCTGTTGCCAGGCCGTGGCCTTATATTCATTTTTTTTCTGCATGCTGGCCATGGCCATATATAGTCCTGGAAGAAAGCTCGCTTTCAGGCTTTAGCCGGAGTTTTCAGACTCATCTTCCTCTGCATGCTCCTCTTCTTCAGCATGGTGGTCTCCTTCATACTCTGCAGAGGACTGCTCGGGCACGGTAGGGAGAGCATGCTCGTCCCCGGACTCCACGATATTCATATATTCGTACTCCCTCCATGCCCTTCTGTAGTTGCTGCGACGGACATCCCTCTCATTGTACCACTTGATTGTGCATTTTGCACACCAGTGGTTCTGGTGTGCATTTTTCACTCTGCAGCAACTGGGGTCACCGCATTCCGTGCAGGGTCCTGCACCTCAAACGGCGGCTGCAGGCTCCTCCCATTTCACAGGCCTTGGCCCACAGAAACTGCACGTGTGCAGGAGCTTAAGGATGGCCTTGGCCGCGATGCACTCGCAGTCTACTTTTTCTTATCACAGCACTTGAGCCACATGGCGACAGCAGGTCGCATACTGTATGAAAAAGCACCATGTCATGCATGCCCTGCATGTATATATGTATATATACATATATATACAAAAAAAGCTTCGGCTTTTGTCCTCGCATCTGTCTCTCATGCGATCTTGAGTCGGGATGCAGCCATTCTGCTGCATGGAATTAAAATGATCGTGCATCTGTGCAGCATGCCGATTCTCGGTGATGCACATGCTCATGTGTGCATACACACATGAGCAAGAAGCAAAAAGTTGGTTGGCATTGCATCGCTTTCGAGCCCTGCACAGCTGGCTTAGCAGCCGTTCTTCTTCTTCCACAGCAGAATGGCCTCTCTGTGGGCCTCTCGCTGGCACTCTACCACTTGCTGCTCCGAGAAGCCTTGCTGCTTTGCCCACGTTCCGGCTCGCTTCTACATGCGAGAAGCATAGTTCTTCTGGATGCAGCCGTCCTCCCAGACAATTTGGAACTTTCGCTTTCCATGCGAGCCTTGGGCTTGCTGCTCCTTTGCTTTGCCTTGGCCTTTCTTCGAAACACTCTTGTCCTTGGACAACTTTCCTTTGCCTTTGCCGTTGCCCTTCTTCTTCGGATCTTGGCCTTGGCCATTCGTTTTGGTCTTGTTCTTGGCCAAGTTTCCTTGGCCACTCGCTGCAGCTGCAGCGGCCGGCTTCTTCAGAATCCCAGCTTTGCGATCTTTGAGCTTCCGGAACAAATCTTCGTCCTCGAGATCGTTCTCGGCAGGGAGCGACTCCGTTGCTTCGGCTTCTTCGGCTGGAGGCAGGGCTAGCTGCAAGGCCGACTGTCGCCCTGGCGAGGTCTGCTGTGTCGCAGCCGAAACCGCCTGGGCTGGGTTGCCCAGAGCAAAGCCGACCCCGGCACTGCTGCTGCTCAGCTCGCCTCCTGTGATGGAGTTCCGTCCAGGGGTCCTGCAGCAGGTATACAAATGGAAAAGCATGCATGGGCTGTGTATACAGATGCAAAACAAAGGAAAAGATAAAAGAAGCATGCAGTCCTCCTTTGCAAGATATTGGCGCCTGCAGCAAGCTGCAGCTCCCTTCGCCCACCATCCTGGATGGCATTCTGACCGCAGCCCTGGTCCAGCAGTCTTTCCAGTCGCCCGAAGCACTGGTCCATGCGGCTCTGGAACTCGTCCGCATGCTGCTCAGACACGGCGGCCTTGCCATCTGGCCTCGGCAGCCTCTGCTTCTTGTTCTTCTGCAAGAGCTTGGAAGTAGATCGCATCGGAATGTGAGCTAGCCAGATCCCAGCCCTCACGTCTTTGCCCATGGGCGGGTCCTCAGCCTTGTGGCTCGGTCGAACAGAGCCTTCGGCAAGCTGCTGGGGTCCTCGGGATACGTGAGCAGGCCGACCTCACTCGGCCCTGCATCCGTTTTCACGGATTCCCAAGATCTCTTGAAGACTTGGACCTCTTCGTAAATCTCTTCATATGTCGGCATCTGACTGAGCTCGCCGGCTGCCAGTGCCAAGAGGAAGGCCAGGCCTTTCTTGACCGTCTGTTCTGTGAGGTTCCTCACGCCCAGCTGCAGATACCTCCTGAGAAGGATTTCCAGCCTTGCCGGCTGGCGCCTTTTCCAGCATAGACCACTCAGTGACCGTGATGAAGTTCTCCGGCTTCAGCAAGGTCTGCGGCTTGCTTTCCTCCTTTCGCTTCGGCGTATATATAGTTTCTGGCGGCGGTGTTGCAGCCGTGGCCGTTGCCAGAACTTTGGCTTCAACTTTTTCAAGCAGTTTTCCTGACAGGGTGCTCTCGAAGCTCAGATCCTGGATCGTCTGCTTCATATGCATGGCTTGCCCTAACGACAAAGAGCCAAGGCTCTCCAGCCGGGTGCACCAGCTGTTCATCAAAGCATCGACCGAAGCCTTACTCCCAGTTTGAGCCCACTCGGCCATAGGGCCTAACTCGGCCTGCAACTCTCGGGCCATGTCGCCGCGGCGAGATATATATAGCCGTGGCCAGAAAAGGAGAATCCAGAAGCCCCCTCTATAGGGGCCAAGATGCTACAACCCCACTATACAGGAGCCAAAATGGCAGCTGCATGCACATCCATGGAAAAAGACCATGTACATGTCGCCTGCATGTGTGTGTACGTGCAGATTCGCAAAATCAAGGATGCATGCAGGATCAATCTTTTTCATCGGAGGGAAGCAGGCAGGATGATTTGTCGTCGGCCTCCGGCCATGTCTCTCCATGTGCATGCACACAGAAAGTCTCTGCATGGCAGGAGATGCAGGCTGTCTATGCAGGAGCACTCCCCCACGAGGTCATCGCAAACCAGAGAAGAAATGGAATGCACAACACTGTAGGCTTGCCCTGCCAGTTCCACGAATGCCCAGACAAGGGCACACTCCAAGCAACCGTTCCCTTCAAGCAGCACCGCATCGCCACGACATATCCGTTCCCCGGAGGGCAGCCTGACTTTTTCTGCCACATTAAGCACTTGTGCCGAGGTCAGCTCCGGAATGATTGTGCGAAGTGCTGCCGCCTTCCTCCGAGAAGCTGGCTTCGGGTCCTGCAACTGCAGCATCGCTGCGAAACAATCAGCTCTTGCCAAGCAATATAGTTCTTGTCCAAGAACTTCTCGGAGAAGACCCTGCTCGTAAGCAGAAGTCTTCTTGATGTCCTCGGCGAATCTCTTGATAGTGCGATGCTTTCTTTCGTGAGTGTAGCACTGAACCATGAAACCCCACTTTTCCAGGTGCGAACCGAAGTGGAGAAGCCAATGGAACTTGGAATGCATGCGGTCCTGCCACTCAGCAGCATGCACTGCTTGCAAGAAATCGGAAACGTGCTTTCTCATCTGGCCGGGCGAAACCGCTCCCTCAGTGCGAGCTCTCTGGCAGCATGCCACGAGTTTGTCCAGCTGCAAGAAACATTGGATCGCTTGCACTGCCTCAACATTTGCATTTGCCCTGGCGAGCTGCCTGAAGAAACAAGCCAATATTGGAGACAGTGTCAAGCCTTCGGAGGCCGTGCATTTAAAGGTCTCGGCTTCCTTGCATGCTTTTGCTCGGGACTGACCCAGCATCCCTTCGGCCTTGGCGGAGATGTTCCGGGGCAGGGTCCACTTGGCCACGTACTCGTCGGCGATTTCCCAGACATTGGGAAACTGCTTCTGCAAAGCTTCCAAAAGAAGCCAGGTCACTGTCTGGAAGACACCGGAGACCAGCAGGGTGTGCATGCTGTCGTGGCAATACTGTGAGACCGGCCGGACCAGCCATCGTTGATCCTCTTGTTGCAGCAGGGAAGAACTATTATAAGTCCAGCCGGTGGCTTGCTGCCACGTGCTGAAATCTGCAGCATTCAGAAGCATCTTCTTCTCTGCCAGTTTAGCCATGGCCTCCTGGATGGATTGGTCGGTCGCAAGTGAAAGCTTACTTTCTCGGATCTCAGAGGAACCGACCACGGGGAGCCCACTGCTGTGCAGGGTATCACATCGCTGTGCAATTACATTCCTGCATAGCATGCACATGCGGGTCCCAGCATCCCCCTTGCAGCTCCATAGAGCTTTATGGGCACCACCGTCTTGAACGATCATTGATAAAACCACCCGGAAAAGGACGGGCGGACCTCCTGGTCGCTGCAACGATATGCACCCGTGCTCCAAATGGTTGGCCGGTCGCATGAATATGTCTCGCAGGATTTTCGAGATCCATTGAGAAACACCTGCTTCGGCCTTGGCCATCAGGCTCGATCGGAGCAATCCTATGCAAAGCCACGACTCTTCGTGCTGCAATGCATAGCTTCCAAGTTCTACGAACGAGGCATAGCAAGCCCAGATTTTTCTCTTCGTCTGGACTGCTAATGGATTACCCGGGACGATCTCGTCCGTATACAGGATCAGCCGCCATGCCTTGCTGGGGCTCGGGGGATTCTTGTCGATGCACGCCCAAAAATATCGGGCAAAGTTGCTCTCGGCATCCGAGATAGCAGCTTGGAGCAGAGCCCAAAAATCGACACTGGGTATCTGCAGCTCTGCACCATCTGTCTGCAAAAGTGACAGACGATTGAGGATCCTATTCTCTTTCAGGGGTTGCCAGGCAGCCTCGGCTATATGTTTTCTTTGTGTGAGTTCCGGGACACCTTCCTCCCGGAGAACTTTGCAAACTTCGGACAAAGCCGAGGCTGTGAGATGGGGCAATTTCCTTCTCAGAGCATTCACCTTCTGAAGCTTCGCTGGTCTTTCAGCAAAAGCATCGGTGCTGCTGGAGGCCATGGCCCTATATACTCACCACGGCACCGCACCAACAGCAAATGCCGGAACATCTCCGTGGAGAGTCCCTTCTTCTCCCTGTGCCTGCAGCAGCAAGCAGCCGTGGAGGCTTCCACACGCCTCCGTGGAGGCTCCCACACGCCTCCGTGGAGGCTTCCACACGCCTCCGTGGAGGCTTCTCGCATCCTTGGATGCTGGGTCTCCATGGCAACAACAAACCAAGCAAGAGGACGGGTGACACAACAAATGGCCCCAGGAAGGGGTGCCTGTCTGCGAACACAACTGCAGCAAACCTTGTCTGTGCTCGACTCTGGGCATCTGTATGCATGCTGCACGGCTGCTTGGGTCCGGCTTTCCGCTGCTCAGAGAACACATTTCGGCAGGGCCACGAAACCCCCAAAATATGATATGGAAAAAACTATATCATATGAAAACATAGTCATTCATATGATATAGTAAAAACTATATCATATGAAGCCAAAATATTGCATATGATATAGGAAAAACTATATCATATGACATCTGGCCCCACAGACTTAGATGATATAGTAGAAACTATATCATATGGCCAGTAAGGCCATCATATGATATGGAATATACTATATCATATGGTTTCCTTTCAATATATATATATATATATATATATATGATATAGAAAAAACTATATCATATTTTCTACGTTTGGATAAGGTTCCTATCTTAAGGTTAACAGAAAATTATTCTTTAAAAAAACCCTAAACCCTAAACCCTAGAAGAGAAAAAGCGCGGAGACACTCTTTTTTTCCACCAGACGGCAGCCGCCACTCTGTGAATTTTTTCGGAAGACGGCAGGCGGCTGTGCCGAGCTAGTACCGCTGCCTCAGCTCGTGACAAGCTATCTGAAACAAGCTCGTCACGACTTTGCCGTAGCTCCCAGGGCCTCCTTCCGGATCCTCCGGGTCCTTCTTGTCCGGCATTGGGACGTGATCAACGTCCCGTACCGGCGACTCCTGTCGCTTTCGCTTGGCCTTAGCCTTGCTGCCCTTAGCCTTGCTGCCCTTCTTCTTGGTGTCCTGGCCGGTCTTGCCAGCCTTAGCTGGCAAACTCCTGGGCAAAAGCTTCACCGGCTTTCGATCCTCTTTGTCATCCTCGGGCTCAATCAGGGAGATTGTCTCTCCTGCCTGCTTTTCTCTCTTCTTCGTGCCCTTAGCCTGCTCAGGACGGCCCTTCTCAGCTTCGGCATGGGCCTTGGCCCCCGAGGGGCCGGAGCCGCCTCTCACATCACCATAGCCAATATCCCTGGCCATACTGGGATCCCTGGCGCTTGTTGCCGGAATCCCGCCGCAGCTCCCACTTTGCGACTTCCGACTCCTCTTCGCTCTCCTCTTGCCTCCCCGGCTGCCAGTGCTCCTGGAACCGACGCTTTGCCCGGGCTGCAGCAGCCTCCTTGCTGAGCCCTTCGACAATCGGTGCTGCCGACGGGCGGCCGCATGCTCCTGGATCCACCTCCAGCAAACCCCGCACTTCTTGGACGGGCCCTTGGGCCCGTCCGAAGGCTTGTTGTCCTTCTTCTCATCTCATCCGCCCCCTTCAATTTTTCATCCACCTCCTCCTCCTCTTTCTCTGCTCTCTCTTGTTCGCTTTTCTTTTCATCCTTCTCCTTTTCCTTTTTGTCCTTCTTTCCCTTTTTTTTCTCCTTCTTTTCCTTTCTGGCCTGCTCTTCTTCTGCCCAGGACTGGAGAGCTGCCTGGGATGCCGCGATCCTGGCTGTTGCAAGCTTTTGCTCCAGCCTCTTCCTGCCGGCGGCACTTATCGGCCAATCACGAGCGGCCGCCTCATCCAGAGAAGGGACTCTGGGCTTCGAGGCCGCAGCCTCCGAGGCCGCCTCCTTTGGCTTCGAGGCCGTAGCCTCCTCCGGCTCCTCCTCCGGATCCTTTTCTTTGTCCTCGGACTCAGTTGCCTCCTCGGAGGCCTCAGTTTCCTCCTCAAACTTCTCCTCCTCCTCTTTCTTCTTCTCGTTCTCCTCTGGCTTTTTGTTGCCTTCCTCCTCCTCCTTTTTCTTTTGGTCCTCGGACTCTTCATGAGATCTCGACCGTGGTCGAGGATCTCGTCGTTCTTTTCTATCCTCTGAGCTCGAGCTCCTCCTCCTTCTATCCTGGTCCCGCTGCTTGGGCATGGCCGACGACTTCGCCTGGCCAGGACAAAAAAAGGGTTTAGAGGATCGGGGAGGGTTTAGGCTTTAGGGAAGATCCCTTAAGCCAGACCCTAAAAACCTTAGACTCTTTTTAGCACATGTATGTATATATATATATATATATATATATATATAGTATTTGGTGCATGCCGTGGCATCCACCCACGAGGAAACCGTGGTCTCCATCTACTTCTCTCCCAAAGCAAAGCAAACCGTGGTCTGTTTGCTTTGCATGCTTGCCAGCAGATGCAAACAAACCTTGGTCTGCCTGCATTCTGCCGGCCAGCACGGTTGCCGAAAAGCAACCCCTGCATGCATCACTGACTAAGCAAACCGTAGTCTGCTAGCCAGCTCTGCAGGAGACCGTGGTCTCCTCTCACAGACAGATGGCAAACCGTGGTCCGCCACAATTATAAGGAAACCGTAGTCTCCCGGCTTTGTCCAGGAAACCGCAGTCTCCCGGGCTGCCTATAGTTATATATCTATATCTGTATATGTTTCGTTTGAAAGAAACTTAAAAGGATCCCTTGCCTGGCCTCGTAAAAAAGGCCAGCCCGCATCCAAGGGCTCCCTACAGGAGCCCAAACAGCTGCAAACACCGGCACAAACTTCACAACCTGCACATGCGAGGCTACAAGTCAAACAACTGCATGCACATGAGACAACAAGGCTTTGCATGGTTCAGCAAACGACCCTTCAGTCCACTAGCACTCCAGGCTTCCTCCGTTTGGAGGGCTGCCCCTGGCTTTTTGCTGCCCTTTTCGCAGGGCCAAACCTTGGCCCCGGCTTTTTTGACAAGCGAATACCTTCTGTCGTCGCCTGTCCGTTGAGCCTGGCGGCCTTGGCCGATTTTCACGACTTTGTCCTTCGCAGCAGTTCCCTTAGGAAAGCTTTGCCGTGCTCTAGTCTGAAAAGACTCAGCAGTAAGCACGGCATTTTGTGTTGCTTCAAAGAACAGTGCCATATCATCCAAGTGGACTTTGGGCACATCCGTGACATGGCCCGCCTCCAGGACACGGATCTCCTTTTCCATCCAGGCAACCTTGAGCACATTCTTTTCTGCTCTTGCTTCCCTGGAAGCACGGCGGGACAAGCGAGTCTTCGCTGCTTTTCTCGGAGAGCTGCCTGTTACAGACACTAGAGCAGCCTCGCTGTCTTCCCCGCCGAAAAGGCCAGAGCTCTGTTCTTTCAGTTTCTCTGCCTGCCGCTTGGACTGCTGCTCCTTGGAGGCATCGTTTCGGGAGCCCACGAGCGACAGATAAACATCGCTCTGGGACAACGATGACTTTGCCGGGTATTTTGGCGGTTTTATGCTATGCTGCTTAGAAAGCAGCTTGCACAAGCCCGGGCTCCATGGACGAAGTACCACAAACGGACCATGGTCCGTTGCTTCTAGCTCCTTGTCACCCAGAGTCCAGCTGGCACCATCCAGCTTCAGGACATATTTTCTTTCGATTACCAGCGGCATTAGCCTTGAGCCGAACTTTATGGAAAGATCAACAACACGTGCCTGCAAACCATCCTTGAATTCACACTTGCAAAAAGCGCCAAAAAGTTCCATTGCAGACATCAACCTTGGCTCCTTTTCCCGGAAAACTCAGCAAGCGAGAACTGTCGAGTGACTCAAGAAGCCTTTCGCTTTCGCGAGGCAGTGGCTCCGGATCCTTGATCCAGCTCTTGGGCCGAGGCCCTCAAACTTTCGGCAGGCTTCGGCCTGTACAGGATGCACTCCTTCAGCGGAGCAGTGTTCTTCAAAACGGGAATCTTCCAGCCCTTCTCGTTCAGAAGGACTGTCGCCAGATTCGGCTCTGAGCCGACCGGGATCTGCCAGAAGGCAGATAGCAAACTTGCGGCTGCAGCCGGGGGTGAAATATACAAGCTTGTGCCCGTGGCCGAATGCCAAACCTCCACACTGCCAGCTGCCGGCTTTAAGCCAAGCTTTGAAATCTGATCCGTGAAGGGGAAGATCGTCAGCTTGCCTGTCTTGGCTTTGCCCTCCAACAGACAGCACGTGGGATTCTTCAAAAAGGTCAACTCCTCTTCACAGTGCGAGTACTTCAGGAAATACTCGCAGCAGAGCTCGAAGAACTCTCCTCGGAGTCTCTCTTGGCTGCAAGCCTCCGCATTATGGGGCAGTCGGTCCACAGAGTCAGACACCACTTCGGGTGCATCTCCGCTATACAGCTCGAAGAATTTCTTGAGCTCGCTCAGAGGCACCTCGACGACCTTCTTGTCCCAGCTCACTGGGCAAGACAGCGAGAAAGAGCCGTGGCTCTGGCCGATTTTCTCCAGCTTCCAAGGCCAGATGTCCTGATACTTCTGCTTGCCTTTGTACAGGTTCCCCTCTGCGAAGCCTTGCAGCTTCATCAGGAAGGCCGGGTCCTGCATGTTCTCCAAGGTCGCAGGGGCCGCATCAGACGGCCCATCTTTTGTAGCAGCAGCCGGTGTTGCACCGGCACTCTTGCCACTCATCTCGTGTTCGTACAAAGTCAGCAAATTGGCCAAGGACCCGTGCTCAAGGCCTTCTTGCCCCGACTTCTCTTGCACATGAAGAGGGTGCTGCGAACCATCAGGCGACCGAAGCACTCAACTGCCTTGGCAGGTGCACTTGCCTCCGTCACATTCTGAGTGTGAGCCCAGGCACGAGCAAGAAGCTCCTCCCAATCCTTTACAGCATCTTCCATGCCTTTCACACAGAGCCTGCTGACATCGCTCTTGTTCAGCAGCCGAGCCACACCGTCTACCACTTTTGTGGCTGTCAGGTTCGTCGAGATCATCGCAGCCCTCGCGAAAGCATGCGATCGCTCCTGCCCTGCAAACCGGAGGCCGGCGACCGTGGACATGAATTCCTCTCCCAATCTTTTGCTTGCCCCATATTTCAAGGAAAAGTCGTGCAAAAACTTCAGCAGAGGTGCTTCGGTTCCTCCTGCATAGAATCTGCAGAACAACCCGCAAGCGGCCACGGTCTGTGGCGAGGCATCCGGCACCGTGGCTGCTACATCAGCTTGCACAACATCCCAGTCGATGCACAAACCTTGCTCTGCCAGCAACTTTGCTCGGGTCACCATCGCCATGGCGAGCTCCAGCTCGCCTGCCGTTCTTGCAACTCCTTGGGCTGCATTCATGACTTCCTGAACGAAGGAGGCCAGCGAGGGCAGTACTGCATCAACTTCCGCTGACAGCACCAGCCACTCCCATCCATTATCCACGGCCTGCCGAAAGTCCGTAGACAATCGCTGCAACGTGAGCTTGCCGTTGTCCGACACCGTCTCTTGGTCCGAGGGACATGCTGCAATGCAGGCACGGCAAAATGCCGTAAAGTGACTGCATGCTAACGACATGTATCGCTCATCGCCTCGCACCTCAGCTAGCAGCCCTCCATTCATATCCACTTGCCGTTTGTTGAAACTAAAGGCCTTTTGGCTCACAGCTCTATCCGTGGATATTTCCATGCAAACACTTCGCTTCAGCTCCATGGAGCTGAAGCCTACAGATTGCACTTGGGCCCCTGTCTTGTGAACTTGGGCTCCATTCAATCCTAACCCTGAGCGATTCGACGGGTGCACCAGGACTTGACCCGGCCGCAGCACCTGACTGTAGCACTTCCTGTTCTCCTGCAGGATAGTTTCGATCTCCGTCCATCTCTCCAATGCCGGAGCATCTTTCTTCAATGCCTGCTCCACGGCCGTAGCCCAGGCAGGCTTCATCTTTTCCAAGTTCTCTTGAAAAAAAACGGCTGCCTGGCAACAGGATATGCATTTATTGTCCGCCCTGCCCCCCCCCTGTATACACGAAACACCCTTCAAACACAAGTCATTAACGTGCCTAACATAGTCATTTCCCTATATAAGAACTGTACTTCAAAAAGTTATGTTAACTTAGCTAAACTTTAGCTAAACCCCCTAATTTTTGTAAATGTTTAACATACTTACACCACTTATGTAAACACTTAGCTAAGTCTCTTAACAGTTGTATTTGTTTATCACACTTATAAGTGATTTGCAATATAGATACAACCGGGTTGCAAGCTATTTAACAACATGCTTGCAATCTATATAAACACTTACAAAGCCACGGTTCTTCCCAGTATCTGGGCATTTGAGTTGCTCATTTACGGTTTTGATCAAATGGTGGTAGTAGTAGTAGTAGTAGTAGTAGTAGTAGTACTACTACTACTACTACTACTACTACTACTACTACAAGTGGGAGCCAAAACTACTGCTACTACTACTACTACTCCTGCTGCTGCTGCTGCTACTACTACTACTACTACTACTACTACTGTAGGGAGGGCGTATGTTTTTAGTTTTTTTTTTGGGGGGGTGGTCCTCTTTCTTTTCCGCTGGGGCCCCTTCGAAGACAATGAAGGAAGGAAGGGAGGAAGAAGGAAGGAAGGAAGTAAGAAGGAACGAAGGAAGGAAAGAAGGAAGGAAGAAGGAACGAAAGAAGAAAGGAAGGAAGGAAAGAAAGAAGAAAAAGAGGAATGAAGGCAGGAACGAAGGAAAGAAGAACGGAAGCAAGGAAAGATAAAGAAAGAAGGGAAGATAAAAGGCAGAAAGGACGGAAAGACAAGGAGTACCAGCCGTCGTCGTACTTGTAGTACTAGTCGAATATTTGCATAGTGTACCTAGATATATATATATATATATAGATACAGATATTTAGCTAGTCTGTTCATATAGTATATGAAATGTAACATAGTATATGCAAAACAGTACAAACTGTATACATACATACATACATATATATATATATATATAGTGTGTGTGTGTGTGTCCATATGTACTTTGTGTATGTATAGTACATATATATGTATATATAAATGTATACATATACATATGCAATGCGTGTATAGTATGTGTATGTACATTTTACAAAGTTTATATACCATTGTTTGAAGCCGTGTGCAAGGTTGCATGACAGCCTATCTTGAAACCCGCGTTACCCGAGATGAGTCTTAGAGAAACAAAACACCATTCACCTTGTGACACGGGTGCTTGCAATTGGGAACCTGCGCCGGGCATGCGAGAGTGCGCACTTGCTTGACAGCACATATGCGTTTTTTGTTTTAACCGACCACGCGACCATCATAATTGCAAATGTGCGGGGCGGGGGGGTGCGCCCGTGTGATGGACACTTGCAGGCTATTTGACATGCCCTTGCTTGCAACAGCGTACGACATTTGCACGAAAGACACGTCAAATAGACGCTGAAATTTTCACCGGCCGAGCGCATACTGTGCCAGAGTCGGAGCACATGTCCTCGGGACAGGGCACTGACAGCGCTGAGCGCGCTGAAGGCGCCGAGCGCGCGGAGCGCGCTGAGGGCGCTGAGGGCGCTGAAGGCGCGGAGCGGGCTGAGGGCGCTGAGCGCGCGGAGGGCGCTGAGGGCGCCGAGTGCGCGGAGGGCGCTGAGGCCGCTGAGGCGCTGAGCCAGAAGCGCTGAGGGCGCGGGGAGGGGGGGGAGGGCGTGGAGGGCGCTCAGGGCGATGAGGGCGCGGAGGGCGCTGAGGCGCTGAGGGGCGCGGAGGGCGCTGAGGGCGCTGAGGGCGCGGAGGGCGCTGAGGGCAGAGCACGCTGAGGAGCGGAGGGCGCGGAGCGCGCTGCAGCCTGATCCAGGCGCTGAAGGCGCGGGACTCAGCGCGGAGCGCGCGCGGAGGGCGGAAGGCGCGGAGCGGTGAGGGCTCGGAGCGCTGGGGCGCTGTTTTTGCGCTGATCGAGGAGGGCGCTGCGGATGCTGCGGGCTGACGGCGCTGAAGGCGCGGAGCGGGGGCGCTGAGGGCGCTATAGGCTGGCGCTGAGCGCGCGGAGGAGCGCTGAGGGGCGGAGCGCGCTGAGGGGCACGGAGGGCGCTGATGAGGCGCAATGAGGGCGCGGAGCGCGCTGAAGGCGCGGAGGGCGCGGACCGCGCTGCAGCCGATGAGGGGGCGCAGAGGCGCTGAGCCGGCGGAGGGCGCTGAGGGCGCGGAGCGCGCTGAGGGCGCGGAGGCACTGAGGGCGCGGAGCGCGCTGAGGGGCATGAGGGCGCTGAGGAGGGCGCGGAGGGCGCTGAGGGCGCGGAGCGCGCTGAGGGTGCTGAGGGTGATGAGGGCGTTGAAGGCGCTGAGGGCGCGAAGGGCGCGAAGGGCGCGGAAGGCGCGGAGGGCGCGGAGGGCGCTGAGGGCGCGGAGCGCGCTGAAGGGCGCGGATGGCGCTGAGTTCATGCAAGGTCACCATATATAATATATTGAAGGACCTGCATTCTGAGTTCCATCGCGCAACCCAACTACAGCGAAGCCTGACATGTAGCGTTGCTGCTACATTTAAGGGCTGCGGCTTGAAAACATAGCTGCCGAAGTGGTGGCGTTTCAGAATGAGCCTATCGAGTCTGGATCAGTCAACACCGATATTGTGCAATTTTTGTTTTTTCGAAGGCCCTGCCAACATGTTCTGCGCTTCGCATCTCAGAACTCTTGAATTTAGTGATGCTGTTCTCTTGGCAAATTCAACCTCTTTGAGCCATGTCCCCCAGCGTCTGTTCGCACGTATAGTTTTGGGCAAACGGCACGGCCCAAGGCTTCCCCCAAGTGTTTACAAGATTCCGCATTCTCGACTCGAATGCTGGAAGGTTTTGCACCACGGCCCACATGTGGCTTTCCACGGATTCGGGACCGCGACCAGAACGCTTTCACCCGCGTATTGGCACGTCCAAATATATTTTCGGGCAAGTAGTGGCGGGATTCAGAAGCACGTCGCTTTGCTTCCCCACATATCTTTTTTACTATAGCTGGATTCAGGAGGACCCTCTCAAAGGTTTGGAAGGTGGCAACTTTGGGATCTATATGCTGTAAGAAAAACACTATTGCGTCAAATGGACGCCAAGCGTCCAAGGCACCCGTGCGCCCCCCCAGCCCCCCCTCTGTATGAAGTCGTCTGCAAGCTTGCGTGACAGCATATGAGTCGTTTTTGAAACCCACCCTGCAAAATATGGGCGTTTTTGAAACAACGCCATTCACCCTGCGAAAAATGTGTTTGCAAATGGGGAGCCTGTCCCGCACGTGCGAGAGTGCCAAGCGTGCTTGACAGCATATATGCGTTTTGTTTGTAAACCAGCCATGCGAGCATCGTGATTGCAAATCGGGGGGAGCTGCGCCCGCCCCCAACCCCCAGCTGTTTTGAGCCCAGCCTAGGAGTCGTTCTTGAAGCCCGCGATGCCTGAGATGAGTCTTAGAGAAACAAAACACCATTCACCTTGTGACACGGGTGCCTGCAATTGGGAACCTGCGCCGGGCATGCGAGAGTGCGCACTTGCTTGACGACACATATGCGTTTTTTGTTTTAGCCGCGACCATCATAATTGCAAACGTGGGGGGGGGGTGCGCCCCCCCAGCCCCCCCTCTGTATGAAGTCGTCTGCAAGCTTGCGTGACAGCATAGGAGTCGTTTTTGAAACCCACCCTGCATAATGTGTGCGTTTTTGAAACAACGCCGTTCACCCTGCGAAAAATGTGTTTGCAAATGGGAAGCCTGTCCCGCACGTGCGAGAGTGCCAAGCTTGCTTGGCAGCATATATGCAGATATATGCGTTTTGTTTAACACCAACCATGCTAGCATCCTGATTGGCTGCCCCCCTTAACCCCACCTCCCGCCCCCCATATGATTTTGTTGTAAACCAGCCATGCGAGCATCGTGATTGCAAATGGGGGGCGCTGCTCCCCCCCCCCAACCCCAAGGTTGCATGACAGCCTACCAGTAGCAGGGACCCAAGTCCGACCAAGCCAAGCCAGACGAAGAAAAAACAAAACTCCGCAAAAAAAGCCCTCCGCCCTCCCCAAGCCCGACCGAGCCAAGCCAGACGAAGAAAAAGAAAACCTCCGCCATGTGCTGGTATGTACCCGCAGTGCAGTTTGGTTGGGGGGTATTCGTAGTCACCTCTTAATAAGATGATCTGGTCATGAAAGGGGGATACTAGATGTCGTGCATGTTTCTGAGGAGAACATATGCCCACCATCTTTTCGATATTGTACATTTTATGGCATGAACTCATTGGTGGTCTGTGTTCGTTCTTCACGCCTCTCGTCCCGAAAAGACTTCGGGTGGGCATGATGCCCGGAGGCTTTGACGAGCCTCCATGCCCAGGAGAGAGAGAGTGAGAGAGAGAGAGATAGAGAAGAAGTGTAGCAAGCTGGCACGAACTGGGTAACGCTGTAACACTATTGTACTGCTGCCCACCTACAAACCACTGGGGGACCGTAACCATGAGCCTTCATGCGTGTATCGCGACTTTAACCGTGGGCTTAGTGCAGATGTTCGTTCTAGGCGGTCCACCGTGGCTCCTGTCATGTGTCATGATACTACAACTGCGAACCCCTGAAATACTTTATAGTCCAATACATTGCGCTTGTCTCTTCAGGGGGAACAGTTATCGTGTTACACTCCCTCAATGCCCCAGAGCACATGGGGGGGCCATCTGCCCGGGGGGCTTGAACGCCCCTCATGCCCTGCAGAAGAAGAGATAGAAGAACAAGATGGAGGTTTTTACATGCCCCGATGGAGATTAGTGCAGCAAAGGGTTTTCAACACTGGGCTCGGGTGTCGTTGGCTGATGTTCCGGACACGTTCCACGAAATAGATGCAACTAGTGCAGAGGTATGTGGAAGGTCAAGCGGAGAACTCGCACATAGGAGCAGATATGTAGGAATTCTGGAATGTGGGCAGTAGGACGCCAACGCAAAAAAAGGGATGAGAATGAGTCAACAAAGCAACGAAGCATGACATGACGGTTCTGCACTCCATGTGCATGTGCAGATATCTTTGTGGTCCTTCATGTTCCTCGTGTCGTGATGTTCAATCTTGGTTCCACCCTGCCGCCTTTGCGTTCTGCCGCATTTGTAGACCAAAAGTGTCCGGTCGGCCGGTCGGGGCCCAGGCCTTCAAGGCATCCTGGCAGTGGCAACGATCACTGGATCTGCTTGCAGAGACTCGGACGAAAACGGAGAGCCGGCGAGCACAGGGCTAGGGCATGCTAGGCTGCGACAGGTGTACAGGACTGTGTGTAGGGCTGCTCCTGCCGTTCTGACTGTAGCCCTGGCCATCTCTGGCTGCGATTTGCAAGTTTCTTCTGAAATGCCTTGCGAGGAAATGAACGAAACGCAGGGAACGAAGCCGGACCTGATCACATACAGTGCTGCGATTTCTGTCCTTGTTTTGCAATTAGCATTCGATGTGCTAGCGACAGTGTCCTTGAGCCTTTACCTTGGTTTGCTAAGCACTTTTACCAAGCAGCATGCTGCAGCGAAGGTTTGCCAGAAGATACTTGCAAAGGGGCAGGCTCGGGTTGAGACCATCTCCCGAACCAGGAACGTCACCGTAATTCTTGCTAGGCATGCCATGCATCAATGAGGCAGCTTCTCGTTAAAGCCCCTGATGCCCTGTCACACTAGTTCCAGGCAGTGGCGCTGCTCGACGAGGTGTGCATGCTGGTGGACGGTAATTGGCCATGGGCCGACGTTCGCCCAAACGCGGTTAAAAAGCTCACTTGTGCTTGCTGAGTTTGCTGCGTGCAGCTCATCCGCGACAGTGGAGAGACTGCCGAAGCACGTTTTGCCCATGGGAAAACTATTCGATTCACGTTTGGAAGAGGGTTGGCTTGAATCTCATCTTGCCGGCAAGGTCCAAGTAGGACGCCGACGCATCGGACGATGCTCCACACTTGTTCGGCAGATCTCTTATCGCATGGGCAGTTTGCGTGCTGTGCCTGGTGACAGTGAAACGTGTCGTTTTCGGTTGCACACTCTTGAAGGCTCGGTTGCAGCACGTCCAAGGGACCGCCTTCAGCTTGTTGGAGGTCTTCGGCGGTCCTTGCGTCCTTTGCACCGCAGCCGCACCGTGAAATTCCGGCACAGGAGGTACCCTCGTTCGAGGACAGCTACCTTGAGGCAGCGTGCAGATTTCCAGCAGCTGACGGTCATGATTTCCATCATAGCACATCTCGTACTGGTAGAAAAGGAGGGAGGGTTTCGCAACCTTGTTTGCACGCAGGCATTATTCCTGTGCCAGATGTGCGCTGTTTTCTTGGACCTTCGGCATATCTGTGTTGACTCCAACAGGCAGGGCCACTCCAGTATCAGACCAGCTCATGCTTCGTGACTGAATATCTGCTCTGCACACGTCACACGACCCTCCTCAGAGGCTGGCGCTGGCGGTTCGCAGCCTCTGCGTGCTCATTGTTTTCTGCCGGTAGCTGAGATGCACCCCTTGCAAGGCCTAGGCATGAACTTCAAGGCAACCACGGCTTTCCCGAAAACCTTAGGCCGGAGGACTTTGCTGCACCAACTCCTGAAGCTTTCAGGCGCTGCTGAGCTTTGATAGTCCTGGCATGGGTCCGCGGCTATCTGCGTTCCGAAGCTCATGTGCTGCTTCGTGCAGCAGACGCGTTGGCTAGCTATGAGCCTTGAATCCTTGAAGTTGTGCCGCAGCATCGAGTAGAGATGTTTTTGAGCCTGTCTGCAAGGCGAGAAAGAGCTTCGCCCTTACAAGCTGCAATTGCTGTCAAGACTGCAATACCGATGACTCGGGCAACGTTTGTGGTTCTCAGGGTCAGCCTCCAGGCATCAAGGCACCTGTGTGGACATTCAGCCTGGAGGGCTGCACCAACGCATGCGCAATAGCTGCAACAGCTCTTGTCAACGCAGCAGTGGGCTCCAAAGCATCGCGACTACTGAATACTTGTAAACCTTTCGGCGCCTTCATCGAATGGCTTGCGTGCTCTTTGTCTTTCATGCAGATCGTGGGCATTTCAACTTCTGCATTCCGCTGGCACGGGCATTGTCCAAGTGTGGGTGGACGTGCGAGTTGTGGACCAATTCCAACTGTGTGGAGTGGGTAAAGCCCGGTGTATTTCATGAAGTTCGGTTGGAGCCTTGGCTGCGCGTGAGGCGTGAACATGCATGAAGGCAAGTGATCTCTTGCGTAAGTAAGTACATGAGTCTGTGGATCGATGTCGGCAAGCGTAATCATCTAAATGACAGTGCCGGCACCTGCGCTTCTGTTTGCAGGCTCACGCCGTCACGCTAGTGCGAGAACGTTTGAGCCTGACACGAACAAAACGACATACTCATCGGCAGATCAGAGATACTAGTTGACCGGGGCGCGGTGCCTATGGTAGCTATTAACTAGCGACTGTCACAACGAAGCTAGGACAGCTAGGACTCGTCGGCAGGAAGAGCTTTGTGTTACCAACGGCGGACATATTTGTGGCAGCATTCTGCCCAACTTCCATCTGGAGCTTGCGTGCAATTAGACAGCATGCAGGACAGCAGCCCATGGCTTCACAAGAAAACCCACGCCCCGAGGATCTGGGGCGTTGCAACCTGCCTGCCATCACAGCTGCTTACAAGTCTTGTGTCAGCTCTGGCGATACGGATGCAGACGGGCAGAAAGCCTTGTTCCGCGATCATGGCGCTGCATTCAAGCACATCATGACATGCCATGGGCCGATGGTACCCTCGAGCTACTCAGATACCTGGGTGCGTCAATCAACTTAGGAGTTGTGTGTGCGGCCATGGCAATTCGTAAACGTGCTGTTTCCGAGGCGAAGGGGAAGGTTTCGGTGAAATGAATCCGGTGTCGGCCCTTGGTGTGACGGCCTTCGAAGATCGACTGGCGCAGGCCGACGTACGGTGTGTGGTCTTCGAAGCAGTTTGGGGCAAGTGGTCACATGATTTGGCAATTGCTCACGGGAGACTTGGCACAGTTTGTCGTAAGGTAGGTCTTCGACTGTGTCCCTTCCCCCTCCCTCTGCATTTTTTACTGATATGATTCAGCCACCTCCCGAGTAAACTACCAGCTACCTTGCAGGAAGAAAGCTTTCGGTTTGATGCCGTCCTACCGGGAACCGTTCAGAGCAGCCTACTGTCACGATGCCATTTGGGACTTTGACAACCAGTGCATCGTGAGGAACCGAGCAGAAGACATTGACAGCTTTCAGAAGTTTGCGCCGGAGGCAGTGTCCTACATCATCGCAGACTGCTTGGTGGGGAAAGCTATAGATTCAGGTGGTCGTCGACGCTTTGGGGCTTTTCTCCCAAGCTGCGAGGATGTTGATGTTTGCGATGTCGAGCTGCAGAGCTGGCTTGATGGTGCAGGGGAAGCGGACGCTCGCATCACCCTCGTAGCATTGGGAAGCCAGACCACTCTCGAAGGCGTGTGTGAGAGTGCTGAGGAGAGGCTGCTGCACGGCTGTTTGTTGGCCTCGCCCCGCGTGCTGGCCGTGTTGAAGGAGACTCCGACTCCGAGACAACTGAGCCCGAAGCTGCTGGAGGCGGTATCTTGTGGAAGGCTTCGCTACGCAAAGTACCTGCCCCAGTGGGCGGTCTTGAACCACCCTTTGGTGCGGTGTTTCGTGTGACTTCGCTGTCAGATACAAGCAAGATTTCTCTCGGATTCTTTCTGTGCGATTTTCTGCGACGATGTGCCGGGTTGCCAAGCAGGCGAAAGCGACACAGCTGAGGTCGCATGGTGGTGCGAATTCGGCGCACGAAGCACTGGCGTGCGGCGTTCCTGTGGTTCCGCTTCCGTTCTTCGATGATCAGATGCTAGGCAAAACCAGCTACGTACTTTCGCATAATCAGTTGCAGTCGCGGATCGGCATAGGCCAAGCCAACAGCCTAGGTTCTACATTGCAAGCCGCCTGGAGGAGTCAACAAATTGCTCTGTGCTGTTGTGATCGTTGCAACCTGCAACTTGCTTGTTGCTACCTTGGCTCTCATTCAGTCATACTCCAGCCATCGTGCCGTCGCTACGAAGGAGCTGTATGGCTACACTTGCAAGTTACGGAAGGCAACGCTTCGAAGCGATTCAGCCATCGAGCAGGTCAGGGCAACACATCCCAAGGTCTCCCTGATGCAAGCTCTGATTTTGCAAGGTGGCGGCTTCAGTGCGACAGGGTCTGGAGGTGACCGAAGTGACGTTGCAGCACTGGCGTGATGAGGCTGGCATTAAGTGGGTCCAGTCCCGACAGTGTTTCGTCAGACTCGAGCATGCTTGTGAGGTCCTGAAGGAGGACGGCGCAGCAACTGCTGCCAGAAGTATTGTAGAATTTGCAGGACATGTTTGCAAGTAAGTCAGTGTGTGGCTGAAGCCAGCTGAGCTTGAATGCGAGGCAGAAGCCTTGACTACACAAAATGCTGACCAATCAGCAATCAGTAAACGCTGCACTGTACTGCGTTGTGCAGGCCGCACAGCAAGAAACGGTGCTTGTGTACAGATGGACAGAGCTGTGTACAGAGCCTCGAGAGTTTCTTGCAAGTAGAGTTTGGTCCTCACAGCCCGGGACGGCGAAGACTGCTGAGAGCATTGGCATGCATGTTTTTGTCAACTGGCGTGGATAGGCATTTGGAGCGCTTCCTTGGAGCGATTGTTCCACGCCTCCTCGAAGTGCGCAGCGGATAGTTCGTGGGCACATCTAGCTGCGCAAGGACCAGCTTGGTACTTGCATTCATTTCGCCTTGCAGGTACTCACAGATCTGGCCTGCGGTAAAGGCTCCCAGCCGATGACAGGTAGTAACGGTCGCTATACTATGTAGCAGGATAGAAGGGGCGAAGCCTTGCAAAGCTCAGTCACAATAAGCAGGAATTCTTTGTGAGCTTCCCGAGCCCATGGAACCATGTACTGACAGGGCGCAAGGCTGTTGGCCGGTGTGGTCTTTGGAAACTGGCACTGGAGGCCGCACAATCTAGAGTTGCTCGTCGCATTGTAGCGAATTCTGGCGAGGCTTTGTTCTACTTGGTTTGGCCCTCGGCTACCGCTTGGCCTCGCGTCAAGGATAGCTTTGTCGAGGTCTGCACATGCGTTACATTATATGGTATTGCATGTGAAGCCGGCGGCCAAGGTGGAAGATAGCCTGGCAGGTGTTGCACGTTGTGAGCTGGAACCTGATGCCTCTCAGCTTGGTCAGTCTCTCTGAAACCCGAAACCACGTGCAGACTTGTTGGTAGAAACCGTCCGCGATGTTCAGCGACTTCTCACGCAGTCGGAAGGACATGAAAATATTGAATACAGTTTGCCTGGTGTCTGCACGCACTGCTGAGAGTGCAGACCATGCTTCCCAAGCCAAGGCAGCCAAAAGCTATTGGGATGCGTTGATCACTTGCTTCTCCAAGGCCAGCTTCTGCAAATTTCTGGCAGCACAGTACATAAGTAATTACAGTACAGCCGATTGCGAGCGAGAAATGGTTAAGTTCTGAAGAAGCTGGATGAAGGTAAAACAAAAAGCGGCAAGACTTGCAACATAACGTTCGTTTACGCAGCGCGGCGCGAATGTTCAAGCACGCGGAGAACACATGACGCTGAGAGGTCCTTGGTGAGGCGCTCCCAGCCCCGCGGTGATTCGCCCAGAATTTTCACTCATGCTCTGCTCATGCTGCCCAGTCTGTGCACCGACTGAGGCCGGAAGGCAGTGCAGATGCCGGTGCTCTGCTATCGCAGGCTGCCTGACACTCTTCGGCCTCGTCAAGTCTCTCGTTTTCATGGCAGGTACTCGGGAATCTTCTCATGCAACGGCCTTCATCTCAGCGTTTCACAGCCCTCAGGAAGTTGCTGTCGCCGAGTCGTGTAACTTGACTTGATCTGGCTTTGACAGAGGATTCTGCCATGCTCAAAGACACCAGCAAGCGTGGCAGAAGATGCAGTGCATCTGCTTCAGGCACGCCCTCGTAGCTACTGCATTACATGAGGCAAAGCAGTAGAACCGCTGCAGAGAACTGCAACGACATGCATCGAATTGGCGGCGAGTTCTGTGCCATTATCTCCGGTGAAAACTGCAGCATTTCAGCCTGGGTTGAAATGGCAGTTGTTGCCCAGGTGCTCGTCAGCAGCGGCCTCGAGAGTTGACATCAGCGGGCCCTATCGTTGCTTGAGCGTTCCGAGCTCAAGGTCAGCAGGGCATGGGTTCGTCCAGCCTCAGGCTCCGGACTGCAGAAATTGCGGACTAGATTTCAGCTGTGGCGCTGTGAGTGCATGCTTTTCTTTAAGGTTTGTCACCTGCAAAACCGGTTCATTCGCGCACTTATATACCCTTTTTCCACAAGAAGCCAGCTTTTGACTTTTGGCAAGGAGTCCCACAGCAGGCTAGCAAGGCGTGTCAAGCGACTTAGACAGGAGAATGTGCCAGGCTGCGAGGATCGGTGAATTCAACATGGTAGCCGCTGTTGTCGCACGAACATAGCGAACACAGACAACCACTCTTGAATTTCATGTTGACATCTGGTTCCGATTGCCGATTTTCGCCGGGGTGGGAGCGAGAGAAAGGGGCGTTGAAGAGAGTGGGGTATACCCTGGTTCAACCCAGGCCGCGGCGGACCCACTGTTCGATTACAAGACATTGCTGTGTATTGCGTTCTCCGTTCCTTATCGCTTTCGATCGCAATTAGCTTTCTCCCTCGAGCAGACCCGACGAATATGCTTGAATGAGCTGATGAGCTACACGCAACAGTTGCTTTTTAGTACTGCCTGCATCAAGTCTGTCGTCGCTGCCGGACCGGCATCGGCTAAGTCCGTTTCCCTTTCGTCAAGTGCGGCGGGGCTTTCTCCGGTGCTGGCGCTTGTTGAGCAGCGCTGACGGTTTGGGGGAGGCACTTCTTCGCGCTTTGTGCAGTCCAGTCCGAGGCGCGATTATTGTTCGGCTACTAGGTGCCGAGCAGGAGGAAGTCTTGCAAGTGTTTGGGGACGACCGGGACTGCAGGCACCAGAAGCAGGGAGCGCAAATGTCGACGGGGATGAAGTGAGGCTCAGCGCCATGGCCTCAAGAGATCGTTTGCTTTGCCAAGCCCTCGCCGAGAGTCAGTGTTTACAGAGCACGCTTCAACCCGCACATCCACGATTCTTAAAAGAACTGATAGCCGTGCTGACTAGGTCATAGCTGCTACAGCCAGGGGTGCCAGTACACTGTCGGCATGGTCCTCAGAGAAGTTCTTTGAGAACCGCCGCGGCCTGATCTTGGCACCAAAGGCGAAGGGAATCCCGTGTCGATCTGCACTGCTAGGCCTTCCTGGCACGAGCTTACTGCCCTGGGTCCTGTGGTACAAGTAGCATCTCTAGCCCGGTCGACTGCAGAGCCCTGTACGGACCGCTTACTAGGTTGATAACGAGTTGCATCGAACCTACTTCTGCAGACCTTGCCAGGCTTGTCCGAGTGTGAGTGTCAAAAATACGGGCGGCTAGCCGCTGATCGGGCTGAAGAAGGAAAAACGCCGGAACCCTCGAGATGCCAACATCCGTCTACCTACTACCGACTACTACTACAACAACTACCTGCCTGCCTGTGTAGTGTCATGGCGCTATCATTTAGTTTTGGTCATGTGTTTATGAGCCTTTTAGCACGGATTTCTATTGCCTTGCAACTGATTTTTGCAACCTAGGTGGCTGGATGTGCTTTGAGGTTAAGGATTTGGTAACTGCAGGTAAGTTTGTTAAACTAGGGTTTCTCTCTTTGAGTTTGAATTCGGTTCTGTTCGATTTGCCTCAAGGCCCAGGGCCCAGCAACTGTTACGTCTCTGAATCTGACCAGTGAGTGACTTAACTGATTCCGCTGAGGGCCAAAGTCCCATGGCCTTGATGTGAATAAGATCGTACGAACGGTGCGCATCAATTCACAAAGTCTCTTGATCTGCGTGCCAGACCTGTGACTGTTGTGTTCCTGGATTGGTTTTTAGCTCTTTTCCCTTGTGGGTTTGATCATGGCGTCTAGTTATCCCTTGAGACCACGCGGAGCCGTCATTGGCATGCCATGCTGGTGCCTACTACTGCTGCTACTACTACTACTACTGCTACTGCTACTACTACTACTACTACCGCCACTACTGCTACTAGTGCTACTACTACTACTACTACTACTACTACTACTACTACTACTACTACTACTACTGCTACTACTACTACTACTACTACTACTACTACTACTACTACTACTACTACGACCACCACTACCACTGCCACTGCTACTGCTACTGTTCCGCTTCTACTCTACTCCAACTGCTGCTGCTACCACTACCGCTGCTTTGCTCAGCTGCTATTGCTACGGCTAATGCTACTGCTATTACGAATGTGACAGCAAGAATGGCGGCGACGACGACGACTGCTACTACTGCCGCCACCACCACCACCACCACCACCATCACCACCACCATTAAACCCGTGTTTGTTTGCAGGTTTGTTGTTTGCCTTCCTCACCATGTATGTTTGCATGCATGTATCTATGTGTGTGTGCACACATAACACACATTTGTAAGTGTAGGTATGTCTGCATGGATCCATGTATGCATAGCATATAAACTGTCATACCGCCTGTGACCCTCTTGTGACCAAAGCTGCCAGAAGCACTGCAAGACTAAACCAAGGGCGAGAAGTAATACTGTAGCCGAAGCGGACGCTTCAGAAGTGAATGGTTCTGAGTAGACTGCACATGTTCACAAATGCTTTGCAACGCACCGCGTGTTGCTCGCTGTCGCATTTTGCACTTGTCACCCAACCAAGAATCTCACCAGGATACGACAATGAACTCTCGGTGCTACTGTACTGCTGAGCTACTTCTTGGCTCCCGTGACCTGTTCATTCTTGAACCGAGCTTTGCCAGGCATTGCAGTGCCGGCACTGGTAGCTCACGTGGCTGCCTTATGATCTGCCCTACTTCTGTGAACTGCCAAGCTGCTTGTTTGGCGTGTACTTTGCCGTCAGGCAGCCCTTCGCATAATGGACCAACATGGAGCGTGCGATTGGGGTAAATCGCCCGAATGTTCCCGTCCCAGGTCCGATCCCTTTTCGCTCTCTATTTGCAGGACGAGGCAAGTCAGGCTTGGCTATGCCATGCCAGCGGATTTCTGTCTTTGCGTCCAGGAAGCGCGGCAGAGGGGAGCTCCCGTGGCCGACGCAGCTGCGCAGAAGGCAGTCGAGGTTCGCCAGGCGCGGCTCGTGTTGCAATCTAGCTGCGCGAGGAAACGCCGCCTCTTGACTTGAGGCTCTCACGCTTTTACAGAAGCTTCAAGTCGACGAGGCTGACTTTGCACATGTCTCGAGCTGTTCGATTCTGCCCAAACACCAAGCCCTAAGCCCTAAATCTTGTTGTAGGCGCTGTGTGGTGGTATATCCTGCTCGTGTTGCTGTCAGCATCCCCCTCCTTGAGCCAACATCTCGTTGTTGGAGCATCAGTCTTCTTGTTAGTTTCTCCCACCTCAAGACATGTGCCTTGCCTGCACTGTCCGAGTTGTTATGGGTGCCGGAGTCTAAACCCTCAGTCCTAGACCCTGAGGCTTGTCTGAGTGTGAGTGTCAAAACTCCTAAACTGCCAGTACTCTCTATAACCTTCTGTGAATGTCACGAAACGCAGTGTGCACAGATGCCTGCGTCGATGGAGCTGCACCCGACCGCAGGCACACGGTTCGAGGTAACGGAAAAAGGGGGCGCTGTAGTTTCGCTGATGTTCAGCTCCCAGTGCCTCCGGCACTGGTAGCGGAGCACAGTCTCCTGGTTAGGCCGGGGCCATGTCGCGCGGAACGACCCGCAGTTGGAGGCCTGTGCCTTTGGCTGGCCCTGTGGATGAAGATGATGGTGCTGCCCCCGGGCAGACGGCGGCAGCTGGACCGGCTCATGAAGAAGCACCGGCGGGAGGCGGCCACGATGATGATGATCTTGCCGAACCCGAGGAGCCGGTCGACCCGTGGAGCGACTACCTGAGAGATCGCGGCACCGAGGGCCGAGGCTGGCGAAGCAGAGCACGGCACCTGGGAGGACCGGTCGTGGGGGCAGTGGTCTGACGACGGCTGGCGCCAACAGCAGGCTGGATGGATGAGCGACTCGCAGCTCCGGCTTCCACGTGGCAAGCATCCGGAACACCACGGCTCTGGACAAAGGCTTCTGGGTGGGCTCGCATGGCAGCGTCACCCCGCATGCTCGCAGTGATGGCGGGCAGGACGACAAGGGCAAGCCCACGGAGAAGCTTATGGTGCCAGAGTACGACGGCGAGGGCGGCAGCGACGCGGAAGTGGGCCGAGAAGCCCGGTCGTACATCCGGCGGGTTCAGGTGTGGCGGCGCTGTACCAAGCTTCCTCCTCGACAGCAAGCCCTTGCCCTTTACACCGCCTTGAAGGGCAAAGCGTGGATCTATGCGGAGGAGCTCAGTGTGGACCTCTTGGCTTCCGAGCGCGGTATGGACTATTTCCTCGAGTGGATTCAGACGCGCTTTATGGAAGCCGAAGTGTCGAAGGTGTCCTGCGTCATGGCGGAACTCTTCAAGAAGTGCAAAAAGAAGCCAGAGCAGAGCGTCAGGGACTTTAATGTCGAATTTGAACGGCTAGTTCTGCGACTGCACGAACTACACTGCGAACTCCCTGCCCTAGTCAAGGCGTGGTTGTATGTTGACAAACTTAGACTCAGCGAGGCCGAGGAGCTCACTTTGTTGTCTTCTGTCAACAACGAGTACGACGTCCGGCGCCTGCAGCAAGCCGCCCTCATACAAGACAGAGGCCTGAGGCGCTCGGGTCAGCAGGCAGAGGCCGGGCAGCCCAAGGGCCAGGCTTGGAAGCGCTGGGGCCGCCAGTCGGTTCATGTCACGGAACATGGGGCCGACGAGGAGTCCTCCGACGATGGGGCCCCAGGCCGGCTTGGCGGCGAGCACCCGACGACGAGGTTGTCGACAAGGAGGTGGCGGCGCAGTGTTATTCGGCATACATGGCCTACCAGTCGGCCAAGGACCGCTATAGGGAGGCCATCCGCGGGAGAGGCGTCGACCAGGACGCGGTGCGACATAGGAACGAACAGCGGCTCAAGGAAGCCAAGGCTCGGAGCTACTGCTCCGTTTGCAAGCGGAGAGGCCACTGGCACAAGGACCCGGAGTGCCCTTTGCGTGGGAAGGTGCCGGCCAAGGGCGACAGCGAGCGAGGACCGGAGAAGACCCAGCACGCACAGATGTGCAACCAGGTCTTCATGTGCGGTGGGGCCGACGACTGCCCAGGTGTCGTGCTGAAGGACGGGCCCCAGGACGCCGCCGACGGCGCGAAGGACTTGCTCGAGAACGGCCCCGGGACACCACCGACGGCGCGAAGGACTTGCTCGAGAACGGCCCCCGGGACACCACCGACGGCACGAGTGTGGGCGAGCGCGGGTGCAGCCAGGGAGCTTGGATGATGGCGGCCGGTGCTAGCGGCGGCGGTGACGGCGAGAAGGGCATGACGGCCATCGTGGACACGGCTTGCACCCGCTCGGTGGCAGGCCACGCGTGGTTCGAGCAGTACTGTCAGTTCCTTGAGAAGGTCGGGCCCGGACTTCAGCCGAAGATCGTCGAGTCGGCCGACCAGTTTCGCTTCGGAGCCTCCCGTGTGCATACTTCAAAGTTGTCCGTAGATGCTTGGTTTGCAACCCAAGGCCGGCCCTACGTCGTGAATGTTGCTATTGTGCCTTGTAGGGTCCCTCTTTTGTTCAGCCGGCCGGTCTTGGCAAGCCTTGGGGCCTGCTATGACGTAGCAGCCCAGCAGGTCGATTTTGTGAAGCTCGGTCTGAGCAAGGTGCCCATGCTCACAGGAGACACAGGTCATCCGGTGATACCGGTGGACCAATTTTGTGATGGGCGGGTGCCTGAGCTTAGGATCCCAGACTTCGTGGACGCATGGATCCCTTCCGCTATGCCCGAGTACAAGTCGGTTTGCGCTGTGTCGGCTCCGCCTCAACCAGCAGCCCGGGACGGGATCTTCTACCCAAAGAAGCTGGAACCTGCAATGTGGAAGGCGAAAAGGAGATGGTGAGAGTCCACGTGGTTCCCTTCGACCCGTCTCTGTGGACCACCAAGTACACTCATCTCAAGGACGCCTTGCTCGAGGAGTTGGCCGGGACACGTCGCACAGAAGCAGTGCCTTGCTTGACAGAGGGAGTTGTGCTGAAAGCTGTTGCCGACATCTGGGTTGACCGTGAGCAGCCGAAGTCAGAGCTTGGATGCGGGTTGTGGGTCGGTCGCAGCAGATTTGCCAAGCGGCCACCACGGCCACTCAAATTCGAACATCCTCGGAGCCTCCCGGTGAATGGCCCGCGCACTGCCTTCGCCGGAAGGACGAGATCCTGGAGGAACTCGGCAGCTACGATGTCCTGGTGCACCCCAAGTGGTGTGTGCCGGAGCTGCGCGACATCCTCATAGAGCAGCGCCAGATCCACGGCATCCCGAAGGCGAACGCCGCGGACCCCATGAAGGGCATCTCCAAGATGACGCTGGAGGAGCTGACCAACGAGGCCCAACGGCAGAACCTGACGCTGCCCACCAAGCCGACCAAGGGGGCATTGATGAGGATGCTGAGGGACTCCAAGGCGACGGAGGGAGACACCATCGTTCGTTTCGGGAAGTACAAGACGTGGTACTACAAGGAGCTCCCTCACGGGTACCTTCGCTGGGCCACGCGAGATCAAATCGGGCAACTCCCACCCCGATTTGGTGCGGCTGGCCACTTGGGCCAAGACGGTGCTGAGCGAGGACCCGAAGGACCCCGCGAAGGAGAAGAAGGAGGCCCGTTTCGACCCCGAGGCCCAGGCCAAGAACCCACCGCCGAAGATGACAGCGAGACGGGACCCGGGCACCAGTTCGGACGGATCCTGGGCGACGGTCGGGGCGAAGCCCTTTCGGCCCATGGACCGCGGAGGACGGCAGAGCCGGCTGCGGGAGGACAGCCCCAGCAGCATGGACGACGAGCCCAGCGGCGAGGCAATGATCGAGATCGCCGCGATCGAGGCCAAGCTGGCGGCGCTCAAGCAGAAGCACGGGGTCAGGCCAAAGGCCGCGCCGGCGGGGCCCGGAGCAGAACGAAGACAAGGAGTGAATGACGGCGGCCCGGCGGCGGAGAAAGCTCGGAGACGGTCTCGGGAGACGAGGGCGGCTACCACACGGCCTATGTGACGCTCAATGACGTCGACCTCGAGGAGAGCGAGGGCGAAGCCCCTAGGCCAAGGACCAAAGCAGAAGCCCGGCAGCAAGCAGTGGAAGGGATTCGCCGAAAGTGCCGGGACAGGCCGCTGAGAGAGAAGCTGTTTGGCGGAGCCCGGACGCTCGTGGGTGCATTGGGCGTCTGGTTGGTGATGATGCAGAGCGTCGTGGCCGAGCCCATCAAAGACGCCTGGGCTGTGATGCAGCCGCGCCACCACCACCCCGAGGACGACCAGCGGGCAGACTTCTTGGAACTCTTTGGCGGGAGGTCGCCCCGGCTGTCCGAAGGATTCGCCAAGCGCCGGCGAAAAGTGCTGATGCCTCGTGACCCTCTACATGGACACGACCTTTGCAACATGGCAGTGCAGGACGAGATCCTGCGGGAGATCGGGGAAGAGCGGCCCAAGGTGATCTGGATGTCGCCGCCCGTCCTCCACGAGACCAGGCGCAACCGGGGGCACGGCGAGAACAACCAGGCCCAACGGAGAGACCGAAAGCGGGAGAACGTCATTATGGATTTTCTCCGAAGGGTTGGGCAGCTTCGCCACCTGGGGCCTGGAAGCCGACATGTACCGAGTGGAGCTCGATATGTGCCAATATGAAGCGGAGGAGCCTGGCCTGCTGCATTTGGAACAGGCGGTGACGCTGCTGGCGTCCCGAGCTTCCGCGACCTTGGGAAGACATGCTCCGGGGGCCACTTGCACCAGGGCCCAGGCGAACCTTTCGCTAGCCGAGCCCAGGTCTGCCCCAACGAGTTTTGCGACAGCGGTGGTGCACATCGTTGACCGAATCGGCTGCGACCCCTTTGTCGCCTACGCCGTGGACGCAGGGGGCCTTGGATTGGAAGCCGAAGGAGCCGAAGTTCAGCCAGCCGACCCAGTTCCGGAAGGAGCCCGGCGATCAGCTTCAAGGGGCGAGTCAACGACAAGGTGGCCAGCACTTTGCGGAGGATCCACCAGAACCTAGGCCACCCGCCGAATAGGGAACTGATCCGGCACTTGCGCCTGAGTGGGGCGTCGGCCGCCTTGATACAGGGTGCGAACCAGCTGCACTGTGAGACCTGCAGCTGCTCAACCAAGGTCCGGCCGCCCAAGGTGGCACACCCAGCTGCCTACCTCGACCTCAACGAGATGGTCGCTATCGACGTGCATGATCTGGCTGGCCACCACAGACATGGCGACGGCCCGGCTGCCTGCCCTGAATATAGTCGACCTGGCCTCAACCTACCATGTCGTAGTCCTTATGGAGTCCACGAAGTCAGCTGCGGCCGCGCAGGCTTTCACGACAGGCTGGTTGCGCTGGGCGGGAGCTCCCAAGATGGTGCTTGCCGACCTCGAGGTGAGCATGCGGTGCTCTGCGGGGCAAGCCCATTGGCAGAACGGCGTGGCAGAGCGGCACGGCGCATCCTGGAAGGCCATCTGGGACAAGGTGGTGGCCACCCAAGGGACAGTGCTAGAAGAAGCTGAGGCGACGGTGGCTGCCGTGACGGAGGCCAAGAACTCTTTGAGAAATCACTCGGGTTTCTCTCCTCGTCAATGGCTCTTTGGCACCAACGACCAGAGGGGCGATGACTACGAGGCGGTGCCAGGCGGGTCTGGTGACCCACATGACGCCACTACTCCAGGCACCAAGTTCGCCCCATTGCAAGCCCTCAGGATGGCAGCTAAGACCGCCTTCTTCGAGACCAAGGTCAAGGAGGCAACCAAGCGGGCCGAGAGCCACAAGCCGAGGGTCGAGAACACCCCCTATGAGCCTGGGAGCCTGGTCTACATCTACCGGCCGACTTCTTCGCAACCGTGATCGGCAGGGAGGGCTCCAACTACTGGCTGGCTCGCGGCGGTCGATGCCTTTTGGCGGCGCCGGAGCACCTGAGATCTGCCGAGCACGCGGAGGTCAACGAGATGCTGCGGGTGAAGCTCGCCTTGAACGAGGTGAAGAAGCTGCTGAAGGAGAACGACCCCGACTCCTACGAGGTTCTCGGCGAGGGCTACGACATGGAGGTCGACGACCACGGGGCGCCGGCTGGCCATGGACGCAGAGATGGAGTTGGAGGCCGGCATCCCCAAGGACCATAGCAGTGCTAGGCTCGAGGCGGTCGCTCAGAGAGAAGAGAAGATCCAGCAAGCCCGGCGCCGGCAACTACTTCAGGACGACGTTCCCTACAACATCAAGAAGGCCAGGCTGGAGCAGCCGAGGGAACCGGGAGATCCGATGGACGTTGGCCAAGCAGCCAGCGAGCCAGCCAGCGCCAGCCGGCAGGAAGTGCACATGGCGGTGCACAGATCCTCGGAGAAGGGCCGCGAGAAGAGCTCAAGTGGCACGAGATCCCGGACTCAGAGAAGGCTCTTTATATTGACGCGGAGGAACTCCAATGGAAGGAGCACGTCAAGTACGAAGCGGTCCGAGAGCTCTCCTTGGAGGAGAGCGCCAGGGTGAGGCGAGAGGTCCCCGCTTCGAGGATCCTGCGGTCTCGCTTCGCTTACAAAGACAAGAATTACGCCAAGCGCAAGGCCGATGCGAGCCTTCCCCCGAAGCCGAAGGCGAGGCTATGTGTCGCAGGGCAGACCGACCCCGATTTGGGTCAGAGGGACATGATGGTGGACGCGCCGACTGCCAGCCGGCACTCCATATTGCTGGCCTGCCAGCTGGCCCTCGAGCGGGGGTGGAAGGCAAGCATCGGCGACATACGCGCCGCCTTCTTGAACGGCGTCAAGGCGCCGCGCGACCTCTACTTTGAGCAGCCCCGGCGGGGCATCCCAGGGTTGAGCCGAGGACAATTGGTGGAAATCCTGAAAGGAGTCTTTGGACTGAGTACGAGCCCGAAGTTGTGGTGGTTGAAGCTCTCCGAGGAGTTGCTAAGCTTGGAGCTGGAGCACTGTGGCGAGAAGCTGACCACTACGCAGCACCCAGTGGACCCGTGCGTTTTCCTGGTTCGGGGTGCTCAGTCCGGCAAGACTTTTGGCATCATCCTGACCCACGTCGACGACTTGATGCTGCTCTCCGAGCCCGAGTTGCGCAAGCCGATCCAGGAGTTGCTCAACCAGCGCTTCCCCGTCGACGGCTGGGAAGACGACGAGTTCGAGTACATAGGGTGCGAGTACAGCTTCTCCGACGAAGAGGTGCGGATCGGACAGCGCAGCTACACGGAGAACCGGGTCGACAGCGTCAGCCTTGAAAAGGGTGCCGCCGACTCCGACGAGGCGACCGCCGAGCAGGTGGAAGAGAACCGGACCTCAGTGGGCTCCTTGTCCTGGCTAGCCAAGCAAACCAGGCCCGACTTGCAGTTTGCCGTGGCCAATTGCCAACGGCACCAGAACCACCCGATCGTGAGGGACCTCAAGTACACCAACAAGGCGGTGGCCACGGCTAAGGCACGCAAGGAGGAGGCCCTGGTCTTGCGCAGGGTCGGGGAACAAAACCTCGCGATCTGCGTCTATCATGACGCAGCCTGGGCCAACGTTCCCGATGACGCCGCGAGCCCCGAGGACCAGGCTTGGCTAGGAGAGCACCAAGTGGCCTCACAGCTGGGGTACCTCGTCATGGCCATGGGGAAACAAGCGCTTCGCGGGGAAAGCACGCCTTTCAGCTTACTTGACTGGCGCAGCAAAGCCAGCTCCCGGGTCTGTCGCTCGACTTTCGCTGGGGAGACAATGTCCTGCGGAGAAGGCCTGGAGTCGGCCCTCTACCTCCGGAGCCTCTTGGTCGGGATGATCACCGGGAAGCCCGCCACAGAAGAAGCTGCAGCATGGCATGTTCCGATCCACCTCTTCACCGACTGCCGCAGCCTGTACGATCATGTGCACCGGGAAGGAGCCCCAAAGGCACCCACGGAAAAGCGGCTCGCCATCGACTTGGCAGCCATTCGGCAGACGCTGATGCGCGAGGCTAAGATCCAGTGGTGCCAACGCTATGGGCACGAAGTCGCCTTGACTCCGGAGCGTCCACTCCGACCACCACTTCACTGGGTGCCCACCGAAGATCAGTTATCCGACATGATGACTAAGCTTATGAGGCCCGATGACTGGTGGAGCGCCTGTGAAAGTGGTCGAATCACGATTCCGCTCAAGAGCTGATGCCGAGTGTGTTTTTATACAGCTGGTTTTTATACCAGTGTGAATGTCACGAAACGCAGTGTGCACAGATGCCTGCGTCGATGGAGCTGCACCCGACCGCAGGCACACGGTTCGAGGTAACGGAAAAAGGGGGCGCTGTAGTTTCGCTGATGTTCAGCTCCCAGTGCCTCCGGCACCTTCAGATTTTCTGTAACCTTTGGGGTTTTCGAGTGTAGAGTGGAGACTATACCAGGCGGGAGGGTCTGCTGGTCTTGGGGGACTCTGCATGTGTTAAGGCGTTTTCAGGGACCCTCAACCCGAACCCTAGAAGCCTGAACTATAAACCCTAACATCTGGCGGTTCGGGCTCAGACAAGGATGCAATGCAACAGTACCGATTGAGCCACTGCTGATGCATCTGCGAATGCCCAGAGCTGCTATGAAAACAAGCCCCACAGTCGCCGCAAACTTCTCTTGCTGTTTTGGCCTCTCTGCGGCATTTGCCGCTTCTCCCATGGAAATGGCCTTACAGCATCAGGTGATGGAGGCAGCTGAACGTGCCTTCGACGTCACTGACGATGTGAGACTGCTGGGCACCAACCCCTTCCGTTCGAATCGAATGCAATGGCCTCGGACCGGACCTTCGCAATCGTGATGTTGGCCACATGTGCCACAGCCAGAGCCAAGGGTCTTTGGAGCCTCGGAGGTCAGGAGCAGCAAGGGCACCCGCATAAAGAACACTTCCAGTTCGTCGAAGGCAAGATGTGTGACTCCGGCAATGGCGAACCGACGGTTTGCTGCTACGGCGACATGGTGCCGTGCTGTGGCGACTGAGTTCATGCTGAGGAACTTACGGTGCTTGAGTTGCCAGAAATACTGGAGGTGGAACCACACTATTAACTACATGCCTCTGTCAATCTAGTGTTCAATCTCCTCAAACAGAGCCCACAGGTGAAGCTGCCGTCAGCATGGCTAGGGCTAGGGCAGTCAAACCTCACGGGGATCGGGCACACCTTGGCCACCACGACGACTCCTGTGCGTGGGATTCGCTTGGACTTGTGGGAGGCGGAGAGTTCCAGATGTACTCTCGGAAGCAGTGTTTCGAGCGAGCCCTCGACCTTACTGGCCCATCTTGGAATGGTAGGCGGTGGCGAGGTCCACGGCAAAACCACCTCCAAGGAACACTGCAATGCAGTGCTACCAGAAGTATCGCGATCAAACATTGCGGCTCGGTGGAAAGAGATTCGGGTTTTCTGGTCCTGAGAATTGGAGGTTGGGTTTATGATGAGCGTCGTTTGTGCAGTTCCCAGGGTCCCACACTCCTGTCTTCTCTGGACCGCCTGAAAAGTTTGAGCCCAGCATGTGGTTCACAAAATGTTGGGAAATCTGATCGCTGCACCCCATCAGAGTCTCGCACAAGAACTGCGATACTTGTGCAGGCCACCGCAAGAAGCATGAACAATTGCCAACTCGAACTCCTCGGATCTCATGTCCCATGAAGAGAGAGGATATGGCCAGCAGAACCAAGGCATACTGTACCAGAGGCACAGGTGGTATGCTAGTTTCTTCAGCTTCGGCCCATCCGACTGCTTTGGCGCAAAAACCCCAGCATACGAGGCCACACGAGGTATGTCAGGCTTGCATGTGCCCGGTGCCACCATGGAGTGCTCTACCCGCTCCCAGTCGGAAACATCCGTTCTGACCTAAAGTGTCGATCTGGGGGCTTGATGCGGCTTTGGAAACTCCTGTTTCAACGACTTTGTCTTGAGTTCTCACGGCAGCTCTAGAACATTTCAACAGTGGTTCCATGACTGTGCTGGCTTCTGTTGCACGGAATTCGCAGTCCTTGGTGATCCGCAGGTGCAGTCGTGGGCATAATGGAAATCCCAGCATGCCAGGCTGCGGTTGCAGCGGCGACTTCCGGCATCTCTCCAAAGGCAAGGGCCCATCCAATCCCTTGACACAACACCCTCTGTTTCAGTCTGTTTGAACAAATTGCTGATGCAGGCTAGATCAGCCTGCAGCTTGGCTGGTTCCCGAGGCTTGCTCGGCCCCGTGCTGCTCTTGATCGGTATTCTTGGAATAGCGTTTGGGAGGCTTGGTGATGGCATTGCTTCCGCAGTCGGCTTCTCAAGTCTTGTTTGGGATGGGAAAGTTCGTGCGGATCCGTGGCCAAGGCTGGCATCCTTGGCTTCAGTTGGAGCACCTGATGTGCGGCGGGCTGTACGAGAGGTTCTTGAGGTGCTTAAGCAAGAAATGTGAAACACCAGTTCTGTGTAGTGTGTAGTGCAGCGAGTGCAGCGTTTGTGGCTTTTGCCACGCATCTTGATGGTTTTTTGTGCGAACTGCTAGCTGCCAGCCTTCTGAGTTGCTTGTGGCAAGAAGTTGCAGGGTTCCATCTGTTGCTGATAAGTGAACCCGCAGGCTTTGGCAACTGAGCTCGAGCTATAGTTTCACATCCAGCGAGAGGATGCCCGACGTCAGTTGGTGATGAATGCAGAGTTTAAATACCAGCTGGCAGAAGTGTCAACAACACGGACGTGGGCCATCTTCTTCACGTGCCGGTAGGTCCGCACACTCTAGTGGCGTTAGTGGCGAGGCAATTTTCGAAACAAGCTGCTGAAGCCACAGTAGGAGTTTCCGGAGGGATCAGGATTTCTTCGCATGGCGGACGGAGAGAGCAAACTTCATTTCATTGCCGGCAACATCCGGCAACCAGCAGCAAACAACAGCAAAAGCAGTGACCAGGCACGTTGGCAACAGCAAACACGACGATGCCGTGACAGCGGCTGCCATGCAGCCACTACGCACCCGCGTCAGCACGGCCACAAAAGATCAAAATTACAGAGTCAAGACTGCACAAGGGAGAAAACTGTTCCAGGGAAAGGGCAACAGGTGATGGGGCAAATGAGCCACTAGAGAAGCATTCGGAAAGCAGCAAATCACAAAGCAAAACATGGCCCTGGGAACAATGCTCTTTGGGAATGCCAACACACGCAAAACCAGTGCAGCTCAGCGAAGGTTTGCTGCATGGACAGCTCTCGAGATCACATTGAAGCACGCTCGCCCGACAAGGCCCACAGGGAGGCGGTTTCGGGGTTGTCCTGGATCCAGGCTGCGCCTTCAAGTCATGTCAAGTCGTTCTATCGTCTCAGACAGTTGCTTTCTGAACAAACATAAACCAAACATAAACCAGAACGCTCAGACAAGCGTGAGCAATTCCCTTGGCAACATGGATTTCGAGACGTGGGCCCTTCGATCGTTGGACGCAAAGCGTGTTGGGGAGTATGTCATTAATATGTCATTTGCATCTCCCCGATATTTGAAGATCTACTGCAGCCAAAGGCTCGTTTTCAAAATAAATTTTCGGAGCAATGTTGAATCAAATTGTTGAGGGTTGGCATTCCTATTTCTGTCCTCGACTGCTTGAACAGAGACCTCCACCAGAGCGATGGTGTGACCAGGTGTGCTGAGCAATTTGCGGGCGCTGAATTGCAGTAGCTTGACCTGAACTTCTATCATCGACAATCCCGATCGCGAGTACAGACGAACTATAGTTAACCCTGGGTGTAATTCGTCTTGTTCTTGCTCCAAGTCCCACTAGCTCGGCAGACGTCGCTGCAATGTTTATCTTTTAATGCGGCTCAAACCTGTCAACTCGCCAGCATCACATGACAATTAATGCGGAATAGAGGGGTGGCCAAGCTCCCGTCTTTGTGTTTAAGCCAGAAGTCTGAACCCTTCGCCAGCGCTCGCAATGGCCCTGAACATCGTGCTCCATGAGGAGAGGTTGCACACGTGTGCGTTAACCACTCGTTTCTCCTTGTCTGCAACAGCAGGGCCACGAAAGCGCGCTTTCCCAAGCTCGCAGAGTTCTTGTCAGCAATGCTGCATGCAGATGATCTGAGGCGTTGCATGAAACTATCACCGCTTTCTTCGAGCGAATCGGGGCAAGAAGTCCATTTCATGGTCAGCGGCACTAGCGGCAGGTGAGTCATCCGGGGCGTCCAACCAAGAAGCTTAAAACACACATCCACCCGGGGCAAACAAAAGCATGCGATGTATATCCTTCGGCCTCATTGACCCTGAAGGATTGAATGCACACTAACTCACAATGATCAACACAAGAGTAAGCTGGTCCATTCACAAAGCTTAGAGATGCATGTTCGTGCTTGTTCAGTGGTTGCATCCCTGCATCCCTTCCTTAGTTCCGTCTTGGGCGCTAGGACCTCACCATGCGCGGAGGCGCTCAAATCTGGCTGGCCGATTGCGGAAAGCGCCTGTCTGAAGTCGGACACCAGATTACCTTCATCCTCCCAGAGGCTCGTGAACTTCGGTGAAGCGGAAAACTGAAACTAAGCACTTGCGTGTCACAACGAACATCGAGATTGCCTTCCTGGAGCATCTCGAGCCATGTGCATCATGCGAAATAGTAAATGCTGAGTTCGATGCAAACCTCACTTCGTGCCAGGACTCCTTGATCCTTCCAGACGTGGAGACTTATGCTAAGACAGTGGTGAAGTACACCCACGAGAAGAGCGCGGAGGACCCGCGCTATCATCATCGAATTGTACGTAGGATTCGTGCAGCCAACTGAAGGCTGAAGGAGCTACAAGTGCATCTGCAAATGACGAAACTGTGTATCCCTTCGCATCGGCCGCACCAGTACAGAGCCCTGAAGAATATACATGTTTGCTGCATGTGCTGAGGGCCTAGTGGCCTCGAGCACAAGCTGCAGGATCCGGAAAGTTACCAAGCGGCCTTTACTGAAGTCTTGAAGCCGGCGCAGGCTCCGCACCGTTTGAGAGTCATTCCTGCTAGAACTGCTCACTGATGCTCACTGCCATCGTGGCGAAATGGGCTTCTCATAATGACCAACAAGAAAATACCAATAAATAAAGTATCCGACACTCTTGAATTTGCGTCTAGCAGCTTCAATCCTGTCGGCTCTAGCGCGTGCCACATCTGCAAGGTGTGCGTGACGCTGGTGCGTCAGATCCGTGGAAAGTACCAGAATGTCAGCTTCATGGCCTCTCAGTTCGAACGGAACTGCAGTGGTATGACTGGCAGATGCCGAACCAATATGTGAAAGAGCACAAAGCATCGCGAGTCAGTCCTGTAACAGTAATCTAATCGGCGGGCACCCTTGTCAGCAGGCATCCGCACCTTAGGACAAGAGAAGTAATGATCAACTCCAGCCTAGCCAAGGCGAAGTGCATCAAAGATGCTGTTTGGCTGCAGCAGCTGGCTCTTTTTCCTTGAGCCAGGACTCTTTGTCGTAACTTCTTTCTAGAGCACTGGAGATATCGAGGCGTGCTCCTCACTTCAGCGATGCTTCGGATAGGGGGGGCATCCCTCCCCGGATCCGTGCCATTGTCGTAGAACGGGACTCCCCACAAATTACATCTCGTGATGTTGACCTATTTCTCGTTCCTCTCTGCAACCCGAGGCAGGCTTGAAGACTTTCCTCATCTCCAAGACTGGCACCTTCGATCCTACCTACAAGGCCGAGTTCTACGGCGGCGACCTCTTGCAGAGCCTCAACACAGGTTTGCTCAGAAGTCCTTGGAAAAACACTGAGGCTTAGACCTGTCGCTTCGCGTGATTTCGCGTGCAAGTGCTGCAGTGCACCACGGGTCACGTCAGAAGCTCTGCACGAGACCCTTAGGACTGAGCCGCCGCAGTGCTGCACCGTGACGATTGCCGAGTTTACCCGACAGTCCATCATCGAGGCCAGCTGCGGCTTGGGATGGAGTCAAACAGTCAAAGGCTCCATAGCTGTCGGTCAGCTTTGCGTTGTCACCTGTCGCTTACCCGAGGCCTTCGGGATCAAGCCGCAGTTCATTCAGAGCCACGTCGAGCATGGTTGGTCGGTGTATAATAAGGCTAGCAGCTAGATTTGACAGGGAGGCTCGGGGGATGTAAGTAGGGAAATAAGACTCTTGTGCATTCTGCATATACTGCATAGGGATGAAGGCAGACGGACTTTCTGCTAGAACTGCTCCCTTTGCAGCGATGCGGCGTCACGAATCTGTGTCCCAAGCAGTGGAGTCGGCTCGCCAGCTGTGTGCTCAGGACCATCTACAACGGCACAGACACTGAGAAGTTCAAGCGCACACCCGAGATGGCAGTTGAGGCCAAGAAGAGGTACCCCATCGAGGACCCGGGATGAGAGTAGAACTACGTTGCATCCGTGGATTTAGAATGATGTGTCCATTGACGATGTGAAGCAATACATAGTACAATGCACCATGCCGCAAGTTTTGGAGTACATTGCTGGCTGACATTGTCTGTTGTGTCCCACTGCAGGGTGCACTGCCTGCGTGGAAGAGGCAAGAGTCAAGAGTGAAAGCCTGCGTTCTTCTTCTAGAATTGTGCTTGCAGCATGCAGCAATGATTCCACAGGCGAACCGAGAGCTGAAACAGCAGTCTGCTTTTAACGAAATTCCGGCCGCCTGAAGCAGAGGCTTACGGAGGCGCATTGTTTATAAAGCATTCCTGAAATGTCCTGTGCAAGAACATAAAGATACAGTCGAAAGTCAGAAGCCACACTTCCGGGGGAGAGGAGAGGGTAAAAACATGTCAAACTACAGGCGTGTAGATATACCTAGCGTTCCGAAGTTAGCAAAAACGACACTACGACGAGAGGGTTGGAGCTTCTACAATCCAGAGACGTCCAAGCAATTCTGTTCGGCGTCGCATTCAGCTGCTTGTCTCGTGCACATGTGCATGCAGAGGCATTCGATAGAGTTGACAGAGCTTGGTCTTCGTTCGCTTCACAAGGCTTTGTCGGCGAGTGCCTGACTCGTGTGTGTGATTTTACGCGCCAACTTCGTGCAGCACAAGCCAGTCAACTCTTTGTCACACGACGGAGAATGCGGGCATCCCTTTGCGTTGGGCTAGTTGAGCTTGCTCAGCCGACGACAAGGTTTGAGGAACCCGTATCCGATGCTGTAGTGGCACCCAAAACCCGTATCCGATGCTGTAGTTGGCACCCAAAACCCGTACCCGATGCTGTAGTGGCACTCCAAACCCGTATCCGATGTTTTAGTGCGTTTAGTTGGCGGAATGACCATCCAAGGTGTTTCCTTCAGGCTTTATTGAGGCATGTCTGGGGGCAGCGTTCAATGGTAACCGCTACATTTCGCCTCTCTCAAACCGATGCGTGTACTTGCGGAAACCCATCTTGTACATGGAGAATAACCTCCCAAGGTTATGCATTGGTGCATACATCTAACATCTGCTTAAACGATGCGTGTAGTTGGGGGAATGACCATCCAAGGTGTTTTCTTCAGGCATGTTTGAAGCATGTCTGGGGGCAGCGTTCAATGGTGTTTTGGATATGGAAATACACAAACCGCTACATTTCGCTTCTCTCAAACCGATGCGTGTACTTGCGGAAACCCATCCCGCGGGCAACTTCGTCAACTTCCTGAATCGTATGCGTTAGT